CCAGTTTTAAATGGTAACACTACCAAAATACAATTTTATACTTAACAAATATTTTTGAACGCTCATTGCCTTTGTTCTATATTAAAGAGACTGTAAGCGTAATTTTAAGTGATCCTCCATGCAAAGATAATGATGCCCGGTTCAGAAGGGTGCCCTTTAAACCTTTATCTGATCAATAATGTGGAAGATATAAAGACGTTTTATGATTCCGTAAGTGGTAATTTCTCTTTTACTGCTTACTTTTTCAGAGAAACCAAAAATAAAAAAAAGCATTTTTTATATATGTTTCACTTACTAATTTTTCAAGAATTGCACGGTTTCTTGTTAGAGATGAAAACTTTATTTAGAAGTTCAACTTAAAGCTCTCAGTTCAATTAAGATTAAAGTTTGTAGAGCTTAAGGATCAGTGACATAAACATTCTCCTGCCCCCCCCCCCCTCATATCTGTATTTTACTCCTATCCCCCCCCCCCTTCAGATCTGTATTCTCCTCCTATCCCCCCCCTGAAACTTTGATTACCTTCTGGGTTGGAATATTTTACTTAACAAAAATTCATAATTTTAAGAATTTGAAAAATAAATATCCGTATTTTGTTGCTAGTACATTAAATATTGGTAATTAACCATCCACAACCAATTAGTTTTATTTTTAATCTCATCCTTGTTTTCATTTGCATTTTTTCATTTTTTTGGTTATGAATGTATGCTTTGTGTATTTTTATATTATAGATTTCTTCATGCAGACTACAATGAACTTTTAAATCCAAAATATTTAAATTTAAATTCTCTCTGTTGCTGAAAATATCTTAAATTTAATTTAAATCTTTCTCAGAAGCTGTAATTGCATTGACCTTCAAGGCAAATTTCCCACTTTAAAATATCTTATTTTATGTCAAAATTATCAAAATTTTACATGAAAGTATAAATATCTTAAAAAGAATCACCACCAAAATCAGACAAAATTTTACATGTATTTTCCCAGCGTACTTTTTTGAATTTTTTAAAACTTCCTTAGCACTGTAACCATTAAAGTAAGAGGTCAAACATTATTAAAACAAAACTATATATCTACCAAAATATATTATTTCTGATTCGAGGATTTAGTTTGAAATTGAATTTTAATATTTCTAAATATTTGTCTGTTTGAGATGAAATTTGACAATAATATTGTGTTACCAGGCCAGCATATACAGGTTGTCCCTTGAAACATGACAGTTGGTAAATGGTTTAAAATAAAAAATAAATAAATAATGATTTATTGTGATAAAATCAAATAGTGATTATCATTCACAGTTAATTATGAAACAAAAAGATTATCGGTTCAGCAGTCTCTGGATATGAGGAATAGCAGATTTTCTCTATTTTTCTGTCCTGGCATGATTAACATGATACTGCTCCTGGTGGCGTAGTTGATGTTCATGTGGGTGAACTGCAGTAGGGAAGAGATGACGATGTTTAGAAGATTTAATACATTTCTTTGCAAAAGAGAGTGAGAGCTTGTCCCTTCTCCAGGGTCTCCAGTTCACAGGACTCCAATGCACTTATATAGTTACCCAAATTCCTAACAGCTTTACAGATTTAATTAGATCTATGATTGTTGTTGAGCTGTAGACTTAATGTAGGTCTGTGTACATAGCCTCTGTGGGTATAAATAGATGATCAACACCTATATCACAGGGTACATGATTTTTAACGTTGTAGGAAGAGAGACCATGGGATAAGGTAGACAAAGATATCAGTTCTAGGAAGGTAAGGTCATTTACATATTTAAACCTGAGGGTTTCATCAACACAATCAGCATTATTGTTGCACTGTACGAGGTACTCCAGTACACCAAGCAGTGTACCTTGGGGTCCACCTCCAGGCATATGATGTACTCTGGATGTATTTCCATTAAACTTAACAGACATAGATCTGTTGGATAGGTAGCTGGTTAAAACACAGTTGATGGTTGCACGCCCATCTCTAAAAACTTCTTGATACCAAAGGTCGGACACTGTCTGTCAAAGGCTGCAGACCAGTCCAGCATGGTTGTGATGACTGCCGGAGTGTTCAGTTTCTGGTCCAGGTGCTTCGGGATCCTATCCACAAGGGTAACCAGGAGATGATCTGTCCCAGTTGCCTTCTGGTTTTCATACTGTGAAGGATCTAGTTTGGCAGAGATATCTTCTAGAATCATTTCTTTAGAAACCTTTCAAAAGTTTGGAAAACTCACTAGTGCATGAGATCTTTCTAAGATCTTTCATTGTTTTTGGAGACTGAACTTTGGGCACTGGTTTCAGGTTTCAGGATAGCTTCCAGACTCCAGGCAGGCATTAAAAATGTTGGTGAGAGGGGTTGCTAACTCGGCCGCAAACTCCTGTCTAAGTTTACATGGAATATCTGTAGGAAGGACGGACTTTGTTTTCTTCAACTTACATAATTCTAGATAAACTTCATATTTTTGTAGAATTGGGGGCTGGAGGGAGGGTAGGTAGGCAGGTAGCGCAGTACATTCAAGTGGTTGGTAACCCTGGGATATGCTTGCAAAGTGGGTGGCAACCCTGTCTGTTGCTTCAACTTCAGGAATACCTTCTAGACACTCCACTTTTATCCCTTTGAGTTTTTGTTGTTAATAAAACCAACGTTTTTACAGATATTAAACCATTGAGCCATTCCTTCCTTCTTTGCAGTTTCCATTAAGTCTGAAAAAAATGTTGAGGATTGAGATTTCTTCATTTTGGAAAAGAGTTTCTTGAGTGTTTAATATCTAATACAGTATATGGAAGAAGACATTCAAAACTTTTCACCAACTTTCATGTTTCGTGGGATACCCTGTATGAGCTAAGGATATTTTTTTCTTTTAATATCACAAAGTTGAGTTGAAGAGATAGTTCAAAACTTTTATCAACACCAGATTTGACACTGTAGGTATAAAATGCCCCAGTTTTATAAAATAAAAGTATATAGTGTCAAGTTCTAAGGTAAAGTTGAAATTTTATATTCCCATTTTGGATTTTGAAATGTATCATAGTTTATACTTTTAATTTTAGACTAATTTCTCAATATCTCAGTCAATTCTTAAGGTACAAAAACGGCAGACATCATTTTGGAAATTTGAAAACAAGGCGCATTTGATGTTGCCCAACTCTTGAGAGACAATGTTATGTTAACAAAATTTTAGCGACAGTATCTCATTTTTGTTTATTCCAGGGCCCAAGATCTACCAAAGCTCTTCTCTGATTTGTCCCTGAACATAAACTCAAACTTTTTAAAAGAACAAATTATTTTATAGAATGAACGATAGCCAAAATGAAAATTTGTTAGAGTGATACTGCAGAGATTAAAAAAAATTTCCAAAAAAATCTAGGGTCCACTTAACTTTAACAGCTGTGAAGCACACCCACAAAATTACATGTACGCCGGTCCAGAACAGTATAGAACGATAGGTAGAGGCATATCTAGATGCTCTATCATATATTAACAGTACGTATTACGCAGTGTTGTTATTATTTTTTATGTTTGACCACAATAAAACCCCATTTAGACCATCAATATTCATTCAGTCAGTCGAGGGGAGGAAGGCCTGTCACAACAATTTCTCGTCTGAGCCACATTCTCCTCATTTTCTCGTCCAAGCCACCTCGGAATCCTCGTCCTTTGATTATTATGTGTTTAAAAGTTTCCCATTCTTGAAGATAAATCTATATTTTTTAATCTTGCACGTTAGGGCATAAAATATGGATGAACTAAAGTATTGCAATGATTACATCATGTTGGAATCTTCAAATTGATTCAAACCCATGAGAATGATGTCAAACTTTACTTAGGTAAAACTTAAATCTCTTATACCTCCGTAATGGCTAATCTTCGCGATATAAAATAAATAGAAAAATATTCGGCATATCTCTGCCTATAATTTTCCTCATGGAAACCACCCGGAAAAATTCTGTGGTTGTCAATATAGTTAACTAAAAAAGATTGAAGTTCTAAAAACTCGAAATTATTTGCTGCATTCTACAACAGGAATATCTGACCGTAAAAAAGGTTAACATTTTTAAAGAAATTAAACTTAAAACTTTAATTTAATTGAAACTTTTATCTTAGATTTACAAAAATTCGAGATTTCATTTCTGCCCTAACGTGGTTCGATTCTTTAAAAGTAATTTTATCTTGGAGTATTAGATACTATATAATATTGAAAGGACGAGGATTTAGAGGTGGCTCGGACGAGAAAAGGAGGAGAATGTGGCTTGAACACGAAATTGGTGGGGTTAGCCTTCCTCCCCTCATCAGTCCTTACAATTATCTTTCTACTCGAGTTTGCTTCTTGGCGTCTCGCCGACATGGACTGCCAAAGCTAAATACATTCGGTTTCTTCATTAAAATTAATTTAGTTTTCATTCAAATTTGTTCACTTAAAACGTATTAGCCGACAAAAGCGACAAAAGGAGAAAAGCGACAAATGTATGTTTAATTGGTCAAATTGGGATCGAAAGTTGCAGCTTGCTGGGACAAGGAACTGTGATCAGTCTCCCTGTTTAAAGGGACTGTAAAGGAAAAATGAAAGGGGGTATAGGATGAAACCTAAGAATCTCAGGTTTTGAACGATTTTGTTCCTGTCTCGAGAAATTGACATAAAACTGTGTCAAAATTATACCAAAACGGGCATATGCCAGTTTTATGTCAATTTTTCGAGACAGGAACATAAGATTGATGTCTTATAGGTATCGTTCAAAACCTGAGATTCTCAGGTTTCATCCTTTTCATTTTTCCTTTACAGTCCCTTTAAGAAACATTACTGTGTAAGTTGCAAGTCCACAATTAAACTTTATCCCACAAATACAACTTATTATGCATTTTTATAAGGAAGATTTCTTTTATTAAGAAAGCTATTTATTTGAACAAGAATCTTCGGATATAATCTGACAGTTAGTAAGATTTCAGATATCAGTATATAATGATAAAAAAAAAGTTTTTTACTCTGTTATTCCATATTTTATATCAATTTTTAGAAAATTATCTAGTTTATTTAATTTTTATTTTTTGAAATGGACGAACTAACTACATTTACTGTACAAATTATAATTATAATTACAATTCAATAATCTAATTATTTAGTTGCTCTGTTTAGCTTCCACATAGGCTTAGATTTCTTCTTGATTTCCTAAAAATAAGATAAATAATGTAAAATGTTTGCTTCGTTTTAGTCATTTTGTATTCAAGTACAATGGTCGGCGTTTATATCAATACAATAAAGACGATTTTCTATTCAAGCTTTTTTTCAAATTACAAGTTTACAAGTTAACAAAGAGAAGCTGTTAATTGACAGGTTCTCTAAAGTCGTCTTCTTTGTAAATAAGTAAGTAATCATTTATTTATGAAATTTAACAAAAAAAATACAAAATTAAGTGTTCAAGAAGAAAATATTTAAAAACGTCTAAAAATAGAGGTCATGGGAATAGTTCCCCCAATTCTAAAAAGCTGAAGGAAAAGGAAAGTTACATTACATTTAATATAACTGGGTGTTGATTGTTAGTATTGATATTTGTAGTTCTGTACGAATAATTCAGCAATTAACAAGTTTCTGTAACATAGAGTCGTTTTGTTTTCAAAAATTCAAAATCAACAGTTTAAATTAGTTTTAACCCTTCTTTTCTAAAAATAAAATCAAAATTAAAACGAAAAATGATCGTTTTTTCGTTTGATTTAAAAAACGATTAAAGAAACTGGAATCGTAATTTTAAATGAATCTCCATACAAAGATTTAAACCTTGTAATTAAGCGTACAGTCCCTTGAACACCCTTACCTCTAGGTCCTCGAAGGTATCTGGAAGAGGGAAGCCTATGGTGTCAGGTAAGAATAAAGCCAGAAGTCCGCCTGATTCAATGCATGTCAAAATATCATAATTAGTTTGCTTTTTATATAAATTTCTAGAGCTAATCTGTCAGATATTTAAAATTAATATATAAATAATAAAACTTTTTGTCTTTAATTCTTTTAACAAAAACGTATAAAAATGACCATTGTTCTTGGTAAGTCTTATTTCATATCCTCAATCCTCATATATTAATTTTTTTAAATCTCAATCTCACAATTTTTCTATAAAGTTCTCATTCTTCAAAACATTTCCCTTTATTTTGAAAAATTAATAAAATTGAATATGCTCCTATCACTGCACTTCCACCAAAAACAGTATACGCAACCCAGCCAGGAAGAGAACCCTAAAACAAGCAAGATATTTAAGAGAAATTAAGACATTAAGAAACTATCTGATAAATTGAAATACGTACTTCTCCATTTTTCTGGTTTTGAACAAATCTTGGCAGTTTTCACGTTTTTTTGTACGAAACAGTATTCTCAAAGTTTGAAAAAAGCTAAAAAGGAAGAGATATACCTGACCCACAATTTAAAATCTTCGGCTTGGATCGTAATTCCTTAAACCAAGCAATAAGACCCAATCTTAGACCCAACCCAACTCGAACGACAGCTTGTGGAGCGTGATCGGCAGTTGGGAGATCTTATGCTAGACTTACGGAGTTAGGCCCAATGAAAATAAAACCGAACTTGGATGGTTCTAGTGAAGAATAAGGCTCAATGTTGAGTCTTGTTCTAATCAAAACCCGGAATGCGCCAATTCCAACCATGAAAATAAAAAAAGCATTAATAAACCGGTTTTATGAACTCAACTAGATGTGAATTTTTTAAATCGTGAGCTCAGTAAGGAGTACATATACCTGGGAAGGAAGGTAGACAGCTATCCAAGGAGCAGAAATACCGCCAAACCTTGCCATAGTACTACAGATTCCAACTGCACTATTCCTAAAAGTTTTTAATTTAATCTTAAACTATAAGTTACACACCTAATAATTCAACCTATAATCAGACAGAGAGTGAAATCTGTAACTTTAGAGCTGTTCAACTTTATATGTGTCATGGTGGTTTAAACCCTTGTACAGTGGTCATCCTATATATCAAAACAAAGAAGACGACTTTCGATTTAAATTTTTGATTTTTTCCAGCTTTCTAGTGCAGCATATATGGTATAGGTAAACATAGAAACAAACAGAAGTTGTCAATAAACAGCTTCTCTTTGTTTAAAATCTTGTAATGTAAAAAAGGTTGTTAGAAATCAAAACTAAAGAAGGAAAGTCGTCTTTATTGTATTGGTATAAACGCAGACCTCTGTAGCTAGTGAGAAATGAGATTTAAAAGTCGTCTTCACTTACCCCTTAAATATTAAAGTGTGAAATATTTTATTATCTTCTAATAAAAAATGTTCATCCAACTTTTATTCTTTTCTATAACAACTTAATTTTTTAAGACAAAATATTTTTTTTATTTTCGTGAACATAGTTAGTTTACAACATTTTCATATATTGTCACTAGTTATAAACGAAAAAGGCATTTCATTTTACAATATAATTTAGCTATTCTTTCATAGCTAGAATTACAGTTAATAATGTTCGAGATATGTAACGATATTATTTATGCTTAATTCGATTTGACTTGCATTAAAAGTTCATTGTTGTAGTCTTACATACAGGGTGTCCCAAAAACATGGGAATTCAGTGACGAATTCGATATCGTCTCTGTTATGAATTAGCATTGTAATACCTAATTTCGAAAGCCATTATATTATTATGTCTGCTAGAGTTTATTTTATGAAAAGGATAAAAGGCTGTGAAGATGTGTTTATAATGTCTCCGCATAATGAACAAGTTTACTCTGTTTGTATACTGCAATTTTCTTGTTTTACTAAGTACAACCGTTTACAGTCAAAACATAAACAAACAAAATGTGAACATAGCAGACGAAACTCTTACAGATTACTGCTTTCTCGGTAGGTATCACTATACTAAATTTCAAAAAGAATATTGAAGAAGACTTAATAAGGAAAACATTTGATATTGAATAGTAAAATTTTGCCCTTTTGTATTATATGTTTACGGATTTGGAAGAACATTTTTAAATATGGTGTCTCTGACGACTTGGACCCTCATTTGAACAAGTTCTATTTCCTGTAGATTATGAAGACGACATTGAAGAAATACTTGAGTGCATTTGATGTTGTTGTCAAGAAAATAGCTTTACTGCAGTTAGATAAGATAAGATAAGATGATGTTTATTGCTAACATAAATGTATCTGTATACAGATAGAGTTTACAATCACAAAATTGATGATTATATTAACAGTACAAGTATAAATAATCTTATACTTAAGGAAAAGAGGATCACTATGAGACGTGGCTTTTGAGTTATCAATTAATCGTATTGCTCGTTTCTGTAAAATGTGAATTTGTTTCATTTCTGATCATTTGTTTCTTCCCCAGGCTGAAATTGCATATTCTATAAATGATCGAAATAATGAGTTGTAAATGGTTAAACCCTAAATAAGACATCAAATGTCGTATTCTTCACTTTCTGATAATGGAATGTTGCAGATATTTAGTTTTTTAATTAAATGATTATATGGAGCTCTTTAAAACTGTTCCCGCATATTTATGGCTATTTATGTATTTTCGCAAATACGTTTACGTAAAAATAGAATAAAACTCATTGAAAAATTCTCAAGAATACATTTGATAAATTCTTTCGATGTTTGGCTCATTTAGGGTTTTATTGTAGTAAATTATCAAACCATTAAGTTAAATGAGTTTGTTTATATGCACTGAACAATTGATGTGCCTTGAATGTTCGTTGGACTATTAAAACTCAGAATTTGAGTCTAAATGTCGGCTTCCTATTCCAGAGTTGTTTGGTTCTCATTATATATGTATACTGTTTGTGTGTATTCAAAACAACTAAAGAGCTTTTGAATTTTTTGCATTTAATCCTTCTTTTTTATTTGAGAATTTTTTCAAATCCTTATTGAATATTTTAAATATTTGGATCAAAATAATTTGTTTATGTATTAATATCTCACGCTGATAAAAGATTGCAATATTTGATCCAAAATTGGAAAGCAATAATTAAGAATCAAGCGAATATTAAGAATATTATTTTTTTTAAAGATGTACATAATATGTACTTTATAGTTTATATTTACACTTTGACAGTTTTTTCTGTTGTGCCCGACATAGCCTGTAATTGTTTAGTACATTTCACTGTATCTGGTTAACATCGGTCCTATATACATTGAAATGAACCGTACTGTACAGCGACAGTACGAAATTTCAAACCATTTTCAAAATTTGAAATAGTTAAAAGAAAGAAAAATGACGACATTAATTCTACAGTTTGAAGGTAAATGTGTAACCTCATATTAGTTGGGAATAGTTCTGCAGTGTACATATAAGTAATATTAAAGGTAAATGTGTAACCTTATATTAGTTGGGAATAGTTCTGCAGTGTACATATAAGTAATATTAAAGGTAAATGTGTAACCTTATATTAGTTGGGAATAGTTCTGCAGTGTACATATAAGTAATATTAAAGGCTGCTGAAGCACAGAACTTTCCAATCAGAACCAAAACAGTAAACAGTAAACCCTCCTAAATACAAATAATACGTAAAATATTTTGTTTTGCAAAGTATACAAACTCAAAATTTGGCATAGATTTTTTCCTATTGTGGTAGGCACCAAAACAAAAAAGACGACTTTCGATTTCAATTTTGATTTATATTAAGCTGTTTAACAGCATGGATATATCATGTGTATACACATACACATAGAAGTCAAGAGAAGCTGTCTATTAAAAAAGCTTCTCTTTGATTACTTATAAACAATTGTAATTCGGAAAAAGCTTGTTAACAATTAAAACTTAAATAAAAAAGTCGTCTTCAGTGTATTGATACACTGTAGGTAAATATTAAATATATATTGGTTATACGCATTTTACTATTTACAAAATGACGTTTCTTTCTTTTACACAATATTAGGCGTGACTGGTTTTTTATTTGACTTGAAAAAAAAACGAAAAAAGGTCGATGATGTTGAAGATGGTTTGATTTTTTATTTGTAAAAATATGTCTATATATTGTATGAGAACTTACTTCACCCCCAGGAATGTAGATATTTATATTTTTGAAAATGCACTAATTTTAACAGAAAAATCCACGAAAATTTTATAACAATTAAAGATGGCGACTTTCAGAATAAAGTTTAAAGCTAAATTGTAAAAAGGAAAATGTAAATCCATGATAAGCCTAAACAGACAGACAGATGGTGTAATATGTATGTAAATGTGGTTTCTAAATATCTTTCCTTAATCCTTTAAACCGTTTATATTGCTTCCATTTATAAACAGTATATACAGTATATATACATACATTTACATGGTACATTAAAGCTGCATAAACTCATTGTTAAGGCGGTTAATGTTGGGGGGGATTTAAATTTTAAGAAATTTGAAGTACAAGTTCCACATTGACTCATAACAAGTGGATGAATTGATTGTAGTCTGTTCTAGATGTATGTTGACATTAAAAAAGGTGTCCCTTTAAACATGGGAATTAAATGACGACTTCTATATCGTCTTTGTTCTTTGCGGGATTACTTATTTTTACCTTCAAAATTGATGGAGATATTGGAAATTTGTCTAGATTCCAGATTTCTAAGACGATTGTACGGAATTTGTTTAATCCGTTTTCTTGCAATCAGGTTTTTTTTTGTATGTCAAAACTGGCTTATTTCTGTGACTTAATATTAAGTAGTCCATAAAATACACAACTGATTGCAGAAACCAATTATCAAGCTTCAAATCGTCATATTTTTGGAGTTTTGGGTCGTCTTTACAATCGTCCGTTGTGGGTATAAACCTTGTATCTTTTCATAAAGAGAAGAGCTGTATAATATGTTTATGTATTTGCATACACTGCCCCTGTTCCGCTCTCCTAGCAAAATTGGGCACAAAACGTATCTTGGCTATGTCCATTATACCAGTACTTTTTAGTTCTAGATATCATTGAATACGAAAAGCTCCACCAGAGTTCTGCTCTCCTAGCATTAAGGAACATTTTTGTAGAAATGTACCCATAGTACTCCTTAAAGTATGACATTTTCTGTAACCTGCATACGCGCATTGTGCATTCTCAGAGTACGATATTGGGATCAACATCGCATAATTTGTATGGTTCCATAGCAAATTCAAAGACAAATTAAGAAACGTTGGCATTGTAAACAAAATTTTGAAAACATAAATAAAAATGAAAAAAATCAGTGTCCGAATTTAATGAATTTAATCCGCGTCGCAAATCCCCCAAAACCGGTTTCAATAGAGCGCCAGCTTAAATCTTCCTTCATCCTCGTTTTTTAGAGACACTCTGTACTTTTCTTGTCTAGGACTATAGATGTCTGATTGTTCTTATCCAATACACGAGAAAACGGCTGAACCCATTAAGCTAAATGTTTTTGTAATATCTCAGATGACCCCAGGAAATGTGTCGCGTATGGATGGCCTGAGCCTTAATTTAAAATTGAGTCTAAAATCCAGCAACTTTAGAATGAAAATCCACAAAAGTTTGTGGATATATTGGAGTACACGGGAAAAAAAGACTTAAAAATCTAGAAATAAAATATAAATATAGAACTATAGCAGTATATATTAGAGTACACGGGAATATAATAAAATATAAGTATATATAGAAGTATATATTGGAGTACACGGGAATATATAAAATATAAGTATAGAACTATAGAGGTATATATTGGAGTACACGGGGGATATATAAAATATAACTATATAACTATATAAGTATGTATTGGAGTACACGGGAATATAATAAAATATAAGTATATAACTATAGAAAGAAGTATATATTTACATCAATGAAGGCTGCAATAAGACATGTGGCTCCAGGTATCAGCATAGAAAATACAAACAAGGGTTTCCTAAAAGTAAAAAAATTGTAATTTATGTAAAAAAAAACCAGAAAACAGAAGTGGGTTAGTGTAGTTACTTTGTACTCGATCTAAACATGATTTCTCGGATAAACAATAAACTCATTTAAACTTTTTATTTAGATTGCGCCAAGTCCCTTCTTTAGAACTTAACATCCACGGCGTAAACTATCCAAGAAACAGATCAAAGCGTGTACTGTGCTCATACTTTACTTTTCCTACTTTAAAAAGTGTAAACAATAAACTTGCGTGTATTGTGTAATGGTTAGGGTTCATAGCTCAATAAGTTTCTCAAAAAAATGTTGAATGGATGTTGAGAATCTTTATTGTTACTTTTTGCTACTAATAACATGTGACACATATGATTTAAAGAAGTAAATAACATTTTTTAAAGTGTGAGCGTACAGCTGGGGGGGGGGGAACAGTGAACATCCACCCCCTCCCTTCCAATTGTGAATGGGTTAAAAATACTGTTCCTCCTACCTGCCAATTATATCCATTGTAAGAACTAGGAATACGTAAGATGGTATTTCAATGAGAGAAACCAAAATATAACTAAATGTTTAAACAGTTGATAAAAGCTTTTCAATTCTAGATCACTAATTGACTTTAAAACAATATTGAACTGATTTGTTATTGTTTAAAAAGCAGTAACTTATGTAAGTGAAATAGCGCAGTTCCCGCATCTCATGTTCATTTGACTATTAAAAGTCAAAACTTAAGTTATAAGTCGTCTTCCTATTCAAGACTTGTCTGACTGTAGTAACTGATTTTCCTTAACGGAATGGGGTTTTTTGAAAATTAACGGAAAATTAACGAACGGCAAAAGCCGTTTTTTTAAATCGTTATTTAACGTCTAGAGTCGTTTTTGAAAGAAAAAAATAATGACTGAAAAAAAAGGATAATTCTGTGTGTATTTTGAAATTTTAAACGTCCTTCTGATTTTTTCTCTGGCGCTTATTTGTTTAATTATAGAATTTAAAGCATATTGAAGGGGTTTTTTAAAGTGGTTTGATGTTAATTGAATATTGTCTTAAAATTTGTTTAGCTATTTTCACATAAAATAATCGTTTACGTCTCGCTAACGAAACAAGCGTTCAGTGTTTACCTAAACAAAAAAGGCAGAACGGGCAGCTCAACTTTTTCTTTAAAATTATCCTATTATGATTATCCATTGCAAAAATTATAAATTACAAATCCCAAACAGATTTTCTTTACAGACGACATTAACTCCGCAACTTTCTGGCGCAATTAGAGCTTAAGTTGCTATCAACTGTTTCCTGAGAAAAACATCTTCAGTCAGATTAATTTTATCCACTGAGAGTGAGATACCGTAGTAGAGTAGAGTTATGACTGGCCAGCAGACAAACATTGTCAGGGAGATAAACCGAACTGAAGGATGGAATAGATCACTACAGACAGGGTGTACAATATTATAAGTTGCTAGCTCATGTGCCCGGCTTTGCTCGTTGATTTTTGAGAACACTTTGGATAAAATAGATTAAGAATTGAGAAGAATATAAAAATTAGATTTTTGAAGAAAACAAATTTCCAGCCAATTTGGTCTAGCCGTTTGAGCAGCTATAGCTAACATTTATTAATTTAAATAAGAGAAGAGTTTATTGTATAGATTTATGTTAAATGAGGTAATTCTTTTATTGATTTTATAGTCAATTTGGACTTTGGGAGTTAATAAAAATTTGGAAGTCCTGAATTCTAATGATATACGGCACACAAAATAAAAAGAGATAGTCTAATCAACACTATATTTGAATCCTGAGATGACATTTCAAAATTTGATAATGCATAGTTTGAAATCATAGGGTTTAAAATAAACAATATATGTTCACAGTTTTTGAGGTATTTAAACAAATCAATGTAGAATTTTCAATTTTTAACATGTAGAAAAATTTAGTTTTTCTAATTGTACATTCCTGAGTGAATATTGTCCATCCTCCTTGGCTGGTTGGTCAGCCTGCACATTACCATCTTGGAGCTGGGCTTCAGGTTCAGGGTTACCAGCAGATAGAAGATATTTGGATACAACAACCTTGTTCCTTTTACTAGCTTTCTCAACCACACTTCTTGCAGTATCCAGCTTACCAGTGGATATCAACCATCTAAAAAGTTGGATATCAACATCTAAACAGGTGGATATCAACCATCTAAATAGATAGATACCAAACATGTGAACAGGTGGATAACAACCATCTAAACAGGTGGATATCAACCATGCAAACAGGTGGATATCAACCATCTAAACAGGTGGATATCAACCATCTAAACAGGTGGATATCAACCATGCAAACAGGTGGAAATCAACCATCTAAACAGGTGGATATCAACCATCAAAACAGGTGGAAATCAACCATCTAAACAGGTGGATATCAACCATGCAAACAGGTGGATATCTACCATATAAACAGGTGGATATCAACCATCTGAACAGGTGGATATCAACCATGCAAACAGGTGGATATCAACCATCTAAACAGGTGGATATAACCATCTAAACAGGTGGAAATCAACCATCTAAACAGGTGGATATCAACCATCAAAACAGATTGATATCAACCATCAATACAGGTGGATATCAACCATCAAAACAGATTGATATCAACCATCAATACAGGTGTATATCAACCATCTAAACAGGTGGATATCAACCATCAAAACAGATTGATATCAACCATCAATACAGGTGGATATTAACTAGCTAAACAGGTAGATATCGAACATATAAACAGATGGATATTAACATATAAACATGTGGATATCAACCATGCAAACAGGTGGAAATCAACCATCTAAACAGGCAGATATCAACCATCTTAACAGGTTGATATCAAACCTCTATACAGGTGGATATTAACTAGCTAAACAGGTAGATATATTGAACATATAAACAGGTTGATATAAACATATAAACAGGTGGAGATGAACCATGTCAACAGGTGGAAATCAACCATCTAGACTGGTGGACAAAACTATCTGAACATGTGGATATCAAACAAAACGACAGTCATCTATCGTATAGATAAGAAGATACTATTTATACAAGTTATGCAACCATTTCTTTTGTAGATAATTTAAAATTATCTTTTTTGACCTAAATAATTATTTTATTAAAAAACCATAAAACTAATGAAATTTTTGATGTGAAAGTTAAAAATCTTAATTTTTAGAAATTACTCTCCTTTTAGAATATCAGACTTGATGAACAAATAAAATGAGAAGTTTTAAGAAAAAGATTAGATTTCATAAAAGAGCCAAAATTTGTTTCTCTTTTTTTGAACTAATCATTTTTATTTTTATTTTTTACCTGGGGGATTCAGGAATAAAAAACCAGATTGCAGCACAGGCCAAGCAGACAAGTGAGGAAACCCACTAAACAATAGAATTAATTAACAGACAAGGTTCGTTAAAAAAATGTTGTTAAAGAACGTGAAGAACTGGTTGGTTTTAACTTATTTACTAATCTAATCAAAATTTAAAAAAGTTTTCACCATGATTTTTAAATAAGATGATTGAAAAACATATTTTGATTCTAACCTGAAGAGTTCTCCAGTCTTTAATAGCATATCCCAAGGCACTAAAATTAAATGTCGTCTTAGACAAACTTCTCAAGGAAATGCATAAGGGAAATGTTCTAAAATGATATTTTGAAATTAAAAAACTAGTTTCAATCAATGATTTACTCTTCAAAAGATTGATTATCAAATAATTGTTTTAAATACAAACCATTTCACAAAGTACTGTTTTAAAAATATCTTTTTTGTAAATACAGGGTGTCCCACCAAACATGGCATTTGGTAATAAAGTTCAGAATGTCTTCTTTCATAATTTGTTAAGCTGTTTAATACCAAAAACAATAATGAAAACATTATATAGGAGTCTTTATTACAGTAAAATTAATTTCAAAGTAAAATATACTTGAGCAAAAGATTCTTTAAACGAAATAAACTGCAAACAGCCTTTAATATCTAATACAGTGCATGGCAATGCAGATTTTTCTTTTTTGAAAATCAGGCCACCAAAAATTTACAAAAAACGTAGTAATTGTTTCTAGTTGTTGTGTTGTAGCTGATAGAGTTGATATTTAATTACCTGATAACTGATTCACCAACTGCAAGAGGAATAGATATAAAGTTAGCTAGAAGTGTACTGTAGGATACCCAGGGAAGGAAGGAAACCTTCTCCTAAACAAACAAAATTCAGTCTCTGGATTGGACATTCTTCAGGATTATTTGTTCAAAGAAATTTCGAAGAATATCAAGGAAGAAAGCATAAAAATAGTGCAATAAGGTGTTTTTAAATTCTTTAGAATCTTTTTCGATTTCTGAAGATTCCAGAGCAACCCTTTGCAGAAATAAATCAAATAAAATTTTAAAAAGACTAATACTAAAAAGACGACTTTTGATTTTAATTTTGATTTGTATCAAACTGTTTAACAGCATGGATACACATCTAGACATTTAAGTTAAGAGAAGCTGTCAATTAAAAAAGCCTCTCTTTGGCTACTTGTAAACTTGTAATTCGAAAGAAGCTTGTCAACGATCAACACTTATAAAAAAAAATCAAGAAAATGCTGGTCTTAGGATGAATTTGAAAACCGGAAATAAAAGCTTTTAAACAAAGTCAAGAAGATGCTTTAAAAAAGCAAACAGTTTCTGTAAAATTGCCACATTTTTGGTTGTTTAACTGGTTTTTTTTTAAATGGTTACAGATCTAGAAAGTGTTAAGAAGAACTGAAAAATATTATGTTTATGCCAAAAAATATGTAGATCGTAGATCCAGCGAATAAACAATGTTTCAACTTTTTTCTTTCTCTGTACAAGTATTACCTTGATACCAACTATTTCCATGGATAAAGTAAAGGGAATTAAGAAACATCCTTCAGCACCAGCTCCAGCAATCATCCTTCACAAATATTCTGAATGAAGAGGTGGCTGAACTACCTACCACTGCATTGTACTGGTTCAAATCTTGAGGCACGGATTCAAATCCTCGAGAATCTCTGACTTTGATCGATGACTGTAGATTTGAACCGGCGCTAGGTAGTTTAGGGATCTAGCTCAGATTTGTTAAAAATGTCCCTAAACACTACCCCCTCAAAACTTAAACCTTTGCAATCTTATGGTGTAAAACATTGATGTTTCAAACTAATTGATCAAGCAGAATTTACAGTTTAAAATATCAAAGTCTATACGACATCTGGTTGCAACGACGTCAGGCCATAACTCATTAGAGTTTGAGGATATCCAGTTCCTAATGTATGCTAACATAAATTATTCAAAAAATAAATAAATCCAACTGTTTACCTGAAAAAAACGTATGAGTAATATTCTGGCATAAATGCTCCAGCCAGAGAACCCCCAGCACAGCACAGGATTGCTAAATATAGGAAAATAATGGTACTTGTCACGTGACCTTTCATCACATGAATGGGATCTCCGATTTACAACGGCACTCTGTAAACTTTTGTCTTATTAAAGGGAGTGCTCGCGGAAAATGAAAGGGGGTAAAGGCTTACGTCGAAACATGATTGATGTCTATCGTAAATAAATCAATTTCACTCCAAACAAATCCTTCAAATATTACAACCTCTAATCATCAATGATTTTTCGACGCATTTATATATAATTGATATTAAAAATATTTTTTACTTGTTTCATACGATTCATACTTGATATACTTTAAAGGATGTTTATTTGGCCGCTAGGCCTCTCTACTCTCAATGCTTCTGAAGTTCCATGTGGAAGAGACTCCAACGACAAAAAATCGTCGTTTTTTACGATCCGAGTCGAATGTTGCAACTTTCTGAATTTGTATGGACACTACGTTCTTCGGTATGAGTCGTTTTTAACAATTTTCTCCTTAAAGACCCAATTCAGATAGAAGTAAGATTAGTAGCGATCACCATCAATAATTTTTCGACATAAGTTGATTGATGACTTCAAAGGCGTCTTTGATTTACATTGGTTATCTGATTTGAGCTAAATTATCTAATGAAAAATAATCACAAAATATTCCTAATCCTGACAATTTCAAATTGTGGTCGGCCATTTTGCTTTTTAAAAATACCAGAGCTATTAAGAATCTTGTTTGAATTTAAAATGATTAAATAAAACCTGAAAATGTCTCATTCTGGACTAAATCATATTTATCTCTCCAGTTATTATAAAAGCACAAAAATGGCAGACTATATTTAGGAAATATGAGAAATTGGCTATTCCGTGATTGTTGTTTCATAAAACTCTTTAGCTAAAATCAGGTTACCAATATTGAATGCCGCAGCCTATTTCTAAGTCAAAGACGACTTTTAAGTCATTAATTAATTTTACACTATTATGAATTATTTGGAAAATCCCTGCAAGAGCATATCTGCCAGGATTAAAATTACTGACCTACTAGAGCATATGTCTGATTACTGACCTACTAGAAGCATATGCCTGATTACTGACCTACTAGAAGCATATGCCTGGTTACTGACCTACTAGAAGCATATGCCTGATTACTGACCTACTAGAAGCATATGCCTGATTACTGACCTACTAGAAGCATATGCCTGATCATGACCTACTAGAAGCATATGCCTGATCATGACCTACTAGAAGCATATGCCTGATTACTGACCTACTAGAAGCATATGCCTGATTACTGACCTACTGGAGCATATGCCTGATTACTGACCTACTAGAAGCATATGCCTGCGACCAAATTTATCCGATAAAACTCCAAAACCAAAACTTCCAGCCATCAATCCAATCATAAAGAAACTACATCAATCCATACTTTCTTCAATTTCTTGAATAAAGTTTTAATTCATTTATAAATGATAACTTAATCCATAGAATGATCAATGCTTAACTTTTCTAAATTGTTAATTACAACAAATTTTGGAAGACCTAGTTAAAGTTTTGATTAGTCCAGTAGCAAATTTTTATTTTAAAATCTCAATATTTTGGTATAAGCCTATACCTTAGTGTACAATTTTGTTTCCGGTCTAAAGTATAGATAAGGGTATTATTAAAATAGAATTCGTGACTATTTTCTATCAGAGCCATGATACCAAAGAATTTATAAGAAGTATTAATTTCCTGTTTACAGCTGGTTCAAATATCTTCCGATCACAGACAATATTGAAGTCTGTTATAAAAGAATTGTCCATTTCAAAACTAAACAGTAAAATAATATAGGTCTAAACTATCCATATCAAAACTAAACAGTAAATATATATAGAAATATCTAAACTATCCATATCAAAATATAGGACTAAACTATCCATATCAAAACTAAACAGTAAAATAATATAGGTCTAAACTATCCATATCAAAACTAAACAGTAAATATATATAGAAATATCTAAACTATCCATATCAAAACTAAACCGTAAATATATATATAGAAATATCTAAACTATCCATATCAAAACTAAACAGTAAATATATATAGAAATGTCTAAACTATCCATAGCAAAACTAAAACAGTAAAATAATATAGGACTAAACTATCCATATAAAAAAAACAGTAAAATAATATAGGACTAAACTCTATTAATATCAAAACTAAACACAATATAATAAAAGGTTTAAATAAAATATCCATTTCAAAATTAACTGCAGTAAATATATATGGATAGGTCTAAACTATCCATATGAAACTAAACAGTAAATATAAATAGAAATGTCTAAACTATCCATTTCAAAACTAAACAGTAAATACTTATAGAAAGGTCTAAACTACCCATATCAAAACTAAACAGTAAATACATATAGAAAGGTCTAAACTACCCGTATCAAAACTAAACAGTAAATACATATAGAAAGGTCTAAACTATCCATATCAAAACTAAACAGTAAATACTTATAGAAAGGTCTAAACTATCCATTTCAAAACTAAACAGTAAATACATATAGAAAGTTCTAAACTATCCATTTCAAAACTAAACAGTAAATACATATAGAAAGGTCTAAACTATCCATTTCAAAACTAAACAGTAAATACATATAGAAAGGTCTAAACTATCAATATCAAAACTGAACAGTATTAAAAAAGAATTAAATAATCTATTTTTAATATTTTTCACCTGTCATATACAAAGTCATCAGTACTATTACAAGCATATGCAATACTGTAACAAAAAAGAGATTAGAACTTTAAATGTAAATTCCATCGAAAAACATTTTTTAAAAAGCAACATTAAATATCTATACAAATATTGATAAAATATTTGATTTGAATATCTACATCAACAAAATTTAGCGAACAATTAGTAAGTCTTGTATTTAATCATGCATGCAGATTGCAGGGGGGGGGGAAGATTGAATTTTTTTATAAAGTTTTACAAATGCAAACTATCGTAATGGCTCTTTTTTAAATTGTTTTGTTAAAAATACCTTTTATCTGTGTCATCAAAGTTGCATGTGCCATCTACATTAGTAGCCGGAGCATAATATTTACAGTAGTCAAATTCATCACTATAAAAACACAAAGGTAAAGAAAATGTTAAACTGTATTTTCACATTCAAATCAAAACTTACTATTTCTGATTTTTAAAGGCGATTATTTCTCTCTAGTGTTCAGTTCAGTGTTATTTTTACTTACGGTTTATATAGTTCACTGCATCAAGGAAAACAAGTTCCTTTCTTAACCAAGAAAGTTAAGCACCGTAATTCATGCAGTTTATCTTGTAATCTATAAACACTAGCTTAGGAACTCAGCGTAGTTAGTCCCACCGTTTACCCGCGCTTTGTCGTAAATTACGATTTTTTTCTGTAAGAATAGACTTACACATCTTATAATCTCAAAATCGAGCTAAAAAAACATTCTTTTCCGTATAGAGAAATAATTCATCCCACTAGGAAGTTAAATTCTGTCTTTTTAAATCAAAAAAACTTACGAAGAAGTCCAGTTTTTGCTGGTTGAAATACAGTGCAAATTTTACAAAGGAATTAAGTTTTTGTCACAAACTCTGATTTTTTATTCCCTATCTATTTGCAGCAAAATGTCGTTGAAACTTACAAGATCAGGTTGCAAAGATATATAGAGATTAGAAAATTTGAGTTAATGTGAATTTCTCTACTCTATTAAAACAATCAAATAATTTTCAATTCTAGATTTTTCAGAACTTTACCAATAGTAAACGAACATTAAAAGTATTTTTAAATTGAATTTTTGAAAAATTCTATAAGTTTACTTTTCTATTGAAGGATAGAAGTTGCTGTTGTTCTCTGAATCAAAAACATTTATTTTTAAATTCTTTCATTTTTGTCCAGGCATTTTTCAAAGCAATTTTGCTTATCAAAACCTTGAAAATACAGGGTTACTTACAAATAAGGAGACTGTAAAGACGACCTCAAACTCTTTAAATCTTACACTTCCAATGGTTAATAAAGTGTTCTGCCTTAAATATTTAAAAATAATCTTTAAAGGGACTGCAAACGTAATTTCAAGTGACCCTCTCTACACAGATGGGAATGGCTGATGTGAGCTCGTTGTGTACGGAGGGTAACTTGAAATTAAGCTTAATTAATTAAGTTTAATAATAAAACAAAAATATTTTCAACTTTAAAAAAAATAAAGTTTTCCTGGGAAGCTTTGACCGTCATCTACACAGTGGTCACTCACCTACACACAAACATGGTACATTTCCTTTCTTTAAATATATTAGCTTTGTTTTAATTTTAAAATGTTTTAATATATTGCAGGATGTCAATATACAAATGTGTCATGGCCAATCTATGATAAAAATAGTTTAATTCTGACTAAAAAAAGTTTAATCCTGACTATAAACAGCTTAATACTGACTAAAAAAGTTTAATCCTGACTATAAACAGCTTAATACTGACTAAAAAAGTTTAATCCTGACTATAAACAGCTTAATACTGACTAAAAAAGTTTAATCCTGACTATAAACAGCTTAGTACTGACTAGAAAAAGTTTAATCCTGACTATAAACAGCTTAATACTGACTAGAAATAGTTTAATCCTGACTAAAAACAGGTTAATCCTGACTAAAAACAGGTTAATCCTGACTAAAAACAGCTGTTAATCCTGACTATTTACCTTGCACCTAAACCGGTTTGGTGTAACCCCAGTCATTGACGCCATCAAAATCTACAAATATTAAGATTAGTTAGTTTAGAATATTAATTCTTACTCCTTACTCTTCTGACAATGTCGATGTTGTTGCTAAAATATATTGAGAAGGAAATAAAATATTTCTAGTGAGAGAGTTCAGGGTTGGGATTTGTTTAAAACGATATAAAGCTAGAATATTAAGAGTCCAACTTTTAGGACCTATACTGGATTTTTGTTTGGGAGGTAAAAAAACTCAAAAGGCTTGTCGGTGAAATGTAAAATTTCATTTTTATATAAATTAGCCTCGACTTGAAAATGTATCAATGTCCAATTGCCTTTAGTTTCCCCCCCCCTCTCCCATGCAATTTACTTATGATTTTTTGAAGCTCTAGGCATATGTATCTTAAAAAGTGCCTGTTTCTAGCATTATTTACAAATCGACCGAAAGCTCAATTTATCTATATAATAGAGCTCTTTGCTTATATATACATAGATATAAATATGTATTAGCTATAGCTGGCCAAATTTTTTTAAATTTTTTTTATTAGATATTTTTTTCGCGGACAACACCGGGCACTTCAGCTAGTATATTTATATTTTCTAAAAAGATTTGTTAGATTTCACCCAAAACTGTTCAGATGGTCCTGTAAGGTGTACCCTGTTCATTACAAAAATTGTTCTCAATTATCTGGTTAGAAAAGTTGTGAAATTGTTAGCGCTAGTTTTCACCTCCAGGAAAAGAGTAAAAAAAAATTTATTTTTACCTGAACCCCATCTAGTGAAGCTGGGAGCCATAGTAGTAAAGCTATACCTATCTGCCATGCTCCAAACTCACCTAAACATTAAATAATTAGAATATTATTATATACTTAAAAAATGACTTCTAATTTAAATTGTTGGTAATAGTATAATTTTGAGTTAAATACAGTGCCAGGCGATTATATAAAATGAAGACGACTTTTTTATTTGAGTTTTGATTATTCTCAAATTTTTTCTTTATATAAAATGTGCGGAGAACATTTAAATTCAAGTTTTAGGTAATTATAAATTAAAATAATTTTCTCGAATTTTATTTTATTGTCCTAACTTCTCACTTTATTATGTCGACTAATAACTTTATGTTCTCCCGCAAAATTTGAAAATTTATTGTCCATGGATGGAGTTCTAGATATTCCGTTAAAAAGATTAATGTTTGATTTATCATAGGGAATTTTTTCATAACGAAGAAAATTTTTTCTGAATGTGTCTAGTGTCTACTGTGTCTACATTGGACCTTAAAATGAACGTATTCCCAGATTTGTTGAATAAATTAAAAGAACCTTCATAATCTTTTCATTTAATAGTATGATTATCCTATTGAATAGGTTTAACAGTTCCCTACATGTCTTGTTTACTTATAAAAGTACAAGAAGCTAGATGACCCAGTTTAGTTATTGTGTACTTTAAAAAGAAAGACGCAATTATTTACATTTGGATAAAATGATAAACTTGGACATTTTTGGGATTTTTGTTTATTATGACAATTTATTTTTCAGGAACAACATTTTTCCAATACATCTTTGTCAATCCTAGACTATACATGTTCATAGACATCAGTGTTTTTTTAAGACAATACAGTTTCATTGACATCTTTGTTTTTCTAGACAATATATGCTCATTGACATCTTTGTTTTTCTAGAAAATACATGCTCATTGGCATCTTTGTTTTTCTAGACAATACATGCTCATTGACATCTTTGTTTTCTAGACAATACATGCTCATAGACATCTTTGTTTTTCTAGACAACACATCCTCATTGACATCTATGTTTTTCCAAGACAACACATTTTCTTAGACATCTTTGTTTTTCTAGACAACACATGCTCATTGACATCTTTGTTTTTCTAGACAACACATCCTCATTGACATCTATGTTTTTCCAAGACAACACATTTTCTTAGACATCTTTGTTTTCCGAGATCGACAATAAATATTTGATCATAGACATCTTGGTTTTTCGAGACAACACATTTGATTTGTTTTTCCTAGACAATACGTTTAACACCACTTTTTGAAATTAATTATTATTAAAGTATCTAATTATTTTACTTTATTCTTTGTACATTGTTACGCAACTCACGCTTCGTGTTTAAGTCTGTAAAGTATCCCTGTTCTGCTAGTATTCATTCCTGGTTTCAAGAAGGAGAGTATAAACCTGGAAACCTGTTTTTTTCACCGACAAATTGTACTGTACCGCGCATGCGTTAATAATCCATGTGTGTTTTCTCAGTTTTTTCCGGCATTAGTTAAAAATAATTTATTGTGTCAGTTTTTGATGATTTATCGTGCTTATCAGAGAACTAATGTGGTAAACATCTCTTTTAATATATTTAGAATTGTCTTATATTATTGTATGCTCATTTTCACGTATTTTCAAGTTATAGACGCAGTTTTTAATGCCTGAGATTATGATGTTTTGATTTATGTATTGAATGGATGATAATTAATCATATTTTCTCAAAGCTTTTCTGTAGTCTAAATAAAGTATTTCTCTCAAATTGAAGGTCTGTGCATTAATAAAGATTGAAGCTATTCTGGTTTGATTCATTATGAGGAGAAACGAGAGTAAAGGATCTTACGGTGAAGCCCGACGAAATAATGCACGGTAGTTGTCTATATATATCTTAAGGTCTTTAGGAAAATCGCGGGATCGCGTAACATACATTTAATTTATTTTTTTTGTATGTTTTAAGCCATAAAAAAGGAAGAAAAAATGATACGGTCTATTATCTGTCCGATAAAAAACGTTTGAACGTATTAAAAAGGTTGCAAACAGAGTATGTAAAGGTTCGTTGAAAAGGACCGTCAAAGAAATTGAGTCTTTGCCTCAAACTCAAATTTTCTAACCTTTATATCTGGTCGTGTAAACCTTTGATATGTCAACCTTATTTTATTTAATCTAACAGATTTAGTAACTTAAAATATTTAAGGCCTACAACAATGGGTTGCTGACAGATAGTCAGAGTTTGTGACAAAAATACTCAATTTATTTTTTGCACTTTTAGTTAAATATGACTAAATTAAACCAATAATTACCTAATTCTTCCAAAATGAGATCATAGTTCATACTTTTTCCTAATTGATACAGTTTTTAAATAAAAAAAACGATTGAAAAATATATTATACTTTAAAAATACATAAAGTAAAAATGGTTTTCATTTAAATCAAATTTAAAGCCTCTGACCTTTGAAAGACTGATAAAATTATGAAGACATCATTATCTCTTTGCTTACTTTGAAGACTGTATCAATTGTTAAAATACAACTCACTTAAAAATGATTTTTAAGGGTAAAAAGTGTTTTTTAGATATTCCTAAGAATAATTTCTTTTTATTTTTGCTGCAAAGTTGTTTAAGCCCTGTAAAATTCAAGAGAAAATACATTGAAATAGATAATTAATCGGTAAATATCATTATCTTTCAATGTCTTAGACTTTTTAATTACGTCACTAAAACAAATCATTTGAAAACAATTTCAAACTACTATAAACAAGTTAAAGGAATAAAATTGTACAAACCATATCTTAAAATAAATATTGCCGATTAAAGGTTGAGATGAACATTATTTTCAATATTCAAACTGTACTGTACTCCAGCCATGTCAACACTGAAATTTCCCGGATTTTTTCTCTTTTTTTCAAAGATTTGTAATAAATCTAGGTCCCGAGATTACTCGGCTCTTAGTCTAATTTTAGTCTCACTGACTCTACCTCTAGCCAAAACTCAAGGCTCTATATATCTAGCCAAAACTCAAGGCTCTATCCACGTCCGTCTAAATTAACGATTCATACATTACTAATTTATTAATACAGGTAAATAGAACTGACCGGAATGGCCGGTCAGTGTTTACATGAACATAGATAAAATAGATAACGAAACATAGATAATAAAGATTGTATTGATCATGGTAGCACATTTCATTACAAATTTCTTTAGATTCTTTTCTTAATAAAACATGAATTTTAAAGAGATTCTAAATGATTCAATAAAACATAAAAATTTATTCAAAATAATATCGTATTTTATAACATTTGTTTACATCTTATATCACAGAATTTGTATGACTGATCATTTGGGAATTTAGCTATATTTAAACAAATTATTTGACATAAAATCTGTTTTTGTATGTGTTTGAAAGTTATATGCATTTCAAGGAAATACTAGTTCTATAATTTATCATGCCTTAGATTTAAAGGCAAAATTATCATTTAAAGATATTTTCCATGTTTTTTAAATCACCCTGCAATTGATGTCTATGTGTGAATAACTAAACTTAACAATAATAATAGCAACAAAAATAACAACAATAACAATAAAATCAACATGTAACAATCAGTATGTAACAATTTCTATGACAATATTTCCATCACATTTTATAATTGACTAGATTTAAAAATCAAGAAAAACTTTCAAAGGCAAAACATTTTGAAAATCATATTTTCTTCAGAGTTTGGGAATAAGGGTGCATAAGGACCAAAACAGAAACTGTCCAGTGTACTAAAATAATAAAAAGTTTTAACAAATTAATGTATTTGTTAGTTTCAACAAACAAACAAAAAATTTATCAGAATTGTGTTTTATTGTGTATTAAATGAAACGTAATAAAAATCATACAAACTATAAATTCTTTGTGATTAAGTGCAACAATGAATGTTATTTTAGGATATTTGGCAAAGATGTAAAATGTAGATGCAAATATTTCAAATCTAATGTTGTGTGTATGTATAGTGTGGTGTAAGAATGTAAAATATAATGTAGATATTTATGTTATGTAGTGTAAGAATGTAAAATCTGATGTAGATATTTATGTAGTTTAGTGTAAGAATGTAAATTCGAATGTATACATGCATGTATTGTAGTGAAAGAAAGTAAAATCTGATGTAGATATTTATGTTATGTAGTTTAAGAATGTAAATTCGAATGTATACATGCATGTAATGCGGCGTAAGAAAGTAAAATCTGATGTAGAAATCTATGTACTGTGGCGAAAGAATGTAAAATCTAATGCGGAAATGTATGTTGTCTAGTGTAAGAATGTAAAATCTAATGTAGAAATTTATGTAGTGTGGTGTGAGAATGTAAAATCATGTATAAATGTATGTAATATAGTGTAAGAAAGTAAAATCTGATGTAGAAATTTATGTAGTGTGGTGTAAGAATGTAAAATCTAATGCAGAAATGTATGTTGTGTAGTGTAAGAGTGTAAAATCTAATGTAGAAATTTATGTAGTGTGGTGTGAGAATGTAAAATCATGTATAAATGTATGTAATGTAATGTAAGAAAGTAAAATCTGATGTAGAAATTTATGTAGTGTGGTGTAAGAAAGTAAAATCTAATGAAGAAAGGTATGTAGTGTAGTGTAAGAGTGTAAAATCTGATGTAGAAATGTATGTTGTGTAGTGCAAGAATGCAAAATCTGATGTAGAAATGTATGTAGTGTAGTGTAAGAATGCAAAATCTGATGTAGAAATGTCTGTAGTGTAAGAATACAAAATATGATGTAGAAATGTATGTAGTGTAGTGTGCGAAAGCAAAATCTAATGTAAAAATGTATGTAGTGTAGTGTAAGAATGTAAAATCTAATGTAGAAATGTCTGTAGCGCAAGAATGCAAAATCTGATGTAGAAATATATGTAGTGTAGTGTAAGAATGTAAAACCTGATGTAGAAATGTCTGTAGCGCAAGAATGCAAAATCGGATGTAGAAATGTATGAAGTGTAGTGTAAGAATCCAAAATCTAATGTAAAAATGTATGTAGTGTAGTGTAAGAATGTAAAATCTAATCTAGAAATGTCTGTAGCGCAAGAATGCAAAATTTGATGTTGAAATATATGTAGTGTACTGTAAGAATGTAAAATCTGATGTAGAAATGTCTGTAGCGCAAGAATACAAAATCGGATATAGAAATGTATGAAGTGTAGTGTAAGAATCCAAAATCTGATGTAGAAATGTATGTAGTGTAGTGATAGAATGTAAAATCTGATGTAGAAATGTATATAGTGTTGTGTAAGAATGTAAAATCTGATGTAGAAATGTCTGTAGCGCAAGAATGCAAAATCGGATGTAGAAATGTATGAAGTGTAGTGTAAGAATCCAAAATCTGATGTAGAAATGTATGTAGTGTAGTGTAAGAATGCAAAATCTGATGTAGAAATGTATGTAGTGTAGTGTAAGAAAGTAAAATCTGTTTTAGAAATGTATGTAGTGTAGTGTAAGAATGCAAAATCTGATGTAGAAATGTATGTTATATAAATAATAAATATAAAAAAAACGTTTACCAGCATTGCATTAATCGTCAAAGTTTGTACGATACATGTAGGGCAGAGAACTCTGAAACCAAAAAAAAATTAGAGAAATTAAATATTTTATTAATTTTTAAGTTTTTACCTGTTATAAACGTAGTCCAGTGTAGTTTCTTTGTAAATTTCTATTAATCCCCCAGTCCTAGCAGCTAAATATTTATAAGTTTTAGACCATTCTATTTTCATTATAATCTTATTTTATGATCAAAATAAAACATTTTTTACTTACTTTCTTCCTGCCAGTCAGCATCCTGTGAACTTGTGAATAAATCAAAATAAGAATCTTCAGATCTTCCCTCTCTGTTAAACATCAGTTTCAAAGCTACATTAAAATGTGTTAAAGGGACTAAAAGCGTAATCTCAAGTTACCATCACTAAAATTTCCCGAACAGCCCCTTTAGAGATGAAAATGAAAATAAAAAGACAAAGAATGATAAAAAGGTTTGAAATCGATAAAAAAAAAATTTAAAAAAACAGAGAATGATGTAAAAGATTAAAAAGTTTTGAGATAAACAAAAAATAAAAAGATAGAGAAAGACAAAAAAGTTTGTTATTCAAATAAAAATAAAAAGAGAAAGTTAAAAAATGTTTTAATATAAAAATGAAAATAAGAAGAAAGAGAAAGATAATAATAAAAATAAGAAGAAAGAGAAAGATAATAATAAAAATAAGAAGAAAGAGAAAGATAATAATAAAAATAAGAAGAAAGAGAAAGATAAAAAAGTGTTAAGATGAAAATGAAAATAAAAAGATAGAAAAAGATTTTTTAAAAAGTTTAAGACTAAAATAAAAACAAAAAAAGAAAAAGTTAAAAAGTTCTTAGATGAAAAGAAAAATCAAAAGATAAAAAAGTTTAGATATAAAAATGAAAATAAAAATATAGAAAAAGATTTTTTTAAAGTTTTAAGATTAAAATAAAAATAAAAAAAGAAAAAGTTAAAAAGTTCTTAGACGAAAAGAAAAATCAGAAGATAAAAAAGTTTAGAAAACAAATGATGAATTCCTAGAATCTGGTTTCTTGAAGTATGTAAAGAACAGGGAAGGTATAAACCAGAATGTTACCGTCACTAAGTACTGAAACAACATAATATTTAATGGGACTGTTAACGATATTAGAACTCATTTTTTACAAACTAGTGCTTTGGATTTAAGAAAAAGAATTTCAAAAAATTAATTTTAAAAAACATTTTTTGAATATTTTTAGCCTATGTTATCCCTCAGCCATTTCCGTTCAGCTGTTTGGCCAGCTATAGCTTTAATATTTAGATTAAAACGATAATATAATGTAAATATAAATAAGAGTTGATAGAAATTAATGCATTTATTTGTTATTACAAATTTAAGACGCATGATTTAATTTGAATACATAAACGTCAAAAAGAAGCGCAAGAGGTCACGTTTATTTTATATGATATCGTATTTTGTTTGAAGGAAATCTCGTATAGTTTACAACTCGCCTTAATCTCAAATTTTCTAATCTTTATATCTTCACAACCTGAGGTCATAACTTTTATTCTAGATAATTAATGTGGGCACTCTGAGCAAGGATAAATTTTGTATTAATAGGTAGGGTATGACTACACCAGGTTATCGAGACACTATAGTTTTAGTAGAAGTAATTATTTCCATTTACTGTTTAGCGCCGATTGAAGGATTCATAACTCTACTTGGATAATATATAGAAAGATAGATGTTACCGCCATACTATTTCTATTGGTTCAGAATAGACAACAAACACACGACTGAATCCTGATTGGATCAGGCGCTAATGGTCTCGGCATTCAGGAGTGGAAAATGAACTAAACTGATATCCGTCTGCATAGCAGCATAAAATGGAGTTCAATGCTGAATCCCATGTACAAGATTAAAAGTTCGGACCCTATAAACGACTTTTGTCTATTGTCACACAAAAGTTTTCTAGGAATTGAGTCTGTCTGCGCCTCAACCCCTAATTTTATAATCCCTATATCTGTGCAACCTGATAGTGTAAACCTTCGAAATACAAAATTTAGACTATTTGATCTAACAGAATTTATGGTTTTAATAGCAAAAGTCTACGACGACATCATGTTGCAAAGAAATGAGGATTAGAAAATAATCGACAATTTTTTCTAGGATATATAAATATTACCACACTTGTTGCACTTGTTGCACTTGTTTTCTAGGATATATAAATATTACCACACTTGTTGCACTTGTTTTCTAGGATATATAAATATTACCACACTTGTTGCACTTGTTTTCTAGGATATATAAATATTACCACACTTATTGCACTTGTTGCACTTGTTTTCTAGGATATATAAATATTACCACACTTGTTGCACTTGTTGCGCTTGTTTTCTAGGATATATAAATATTACCACACTTGTTGCGATGAGCATATTCCTGGCCACTGTTTGTGGGGTCATGAAGAACATCATAATCTTGTGTATATCAACATGATCCTGACACAAACACAAATATTTTCAAACATTTTATTGATTTATTTTGAATTTTCTTTTATAGGCGAAACTCAGATAAATCGCTTAGCTAGAGATGGGCACCATTTTTGTGATAGAACAAAATGTTTGAAAACAAACGAAGTTTTTCGTAAACGATTGTAAAGTTCAGAAAAGTTAAAGAACAAATTGGATCGTTCAGAGAAATTTAAAAACTATCGTTTTATGGATCATCAGTCAAACCAATAACCAAGGTACTAATGCAAGGAAAGTTATTTCAGAGGTGTACGCATTTTTTGTACTGCAGTGTACTGTCTTTGGGCGGAAAACTAAACACAAGACGTATGTCACAGCCTGACATGGAATCCATCTTCACAAAAATAATCTTTGAAATATTCTGGTCATAGGAAACTTTTATGTGAATTTTCAAAATTATCAAAATTCAATGCTTTTAACCTCCTCGAATACTAAACGAACACTGATGCATCTTTTCTTGTTTACAAATTCCGCCCAGAGAGAACTGGTTTCAATATGTACGCAGAGTATATGCGACCGCAATTAACTTTCCTTGCATTATCTCCTTGCCAATAACGAACGATTTCTAAATCATTCGTTCGAACAATTTGAAAAGTTATTGTTTTTTTTTACAGAACAAACGGTTTTTCAGAACGAACACTTAACTAATGATTTGATTGAACAACTGCATTCAGTAAGAAAACAAGCAAAATAAATTAATTATGAAAGATAATTTTGATAATGAAAAGGTCAAATTTTTTTCTAAACAACTTAAAAAAAGGAACGAAATGGGTCTTTAACGATCGCTGAATGAACGAAATGAAAAAAACAATTGTGCCCATTTCTACGCTTGGCTTACAAACCGTCTAATAGTTAAAGATACAGATTAAAGATTCAAAAGTTAATGCCACTAGACTTATGACCAAATTATGTTGAAAATTCTTAAATCTCAAAATCATCCTTGTTTTTCTGGCAAGTTTTGTTAATATAAATTGCTCATAAAATATTTATTCCTCAAAATGGTCCAGAGCAACAATCCTATCCTCAGCAGTAATCTCTGAAGGATCTAGAAAAAAAAATTTTAGGATTTGAAAAAACTATAATTTAATGATAATTGCATAATAAACACTTTTTCTGTTTTGATCTATTTGATTTTTATTATAGATAAGTGAACCTAAAACTGCTTCTAAGCAATATTTGAATATATTGTTTGTATTATTTTTACTACGTAAAAATTTGATATAATCATTTCTAATTTCTGATTAATATCAACTTTATAGTTTGCATTAAGATACTTTATTTTACATTTTTGTAAAAGTGATAAAAAAATGATATTTATACCTACAAAACTTCTTGCTCCAGCCTGCCCTTTCCATAGAAGAAAATGCAAGGAAATCCAAATAACATTTATCAAAAGAAACTAAAAAAAAAAGAAACTAAAAAAAAAATCAGGGGTTGGTTGTCTGGTTGTCTGGTTTTCTGGTTGTCTGGATGTCTGGTTGTCTGGTTGTCTGGTTGTCTGGTAGTCTTGTTGTCTGGTTGTCTAGTTGTCTGATTGTCTGATTGTCTGGTTTTCTGGTTGTCAGGTTGTTTGAATGTCTTGCTGTCTGGTTGTCTGGTTGTCTGGTTGAAGAAGTGCATTTCCGATCTTCTTTAAAACTTAAAATTATGGAGTCATCCCTATTATTTTATCTGAAAAATTGTCTATAAAAGTGACTGCGGGATTTATTGACCGATTTATAGGAAGGAAAAAGAAAGATTTGATACCTTTTCAAGATGGAAAGGAAATATTTATCCGAGAAAGGGCTAAACGATTTTGTTTTGAATCAGACATGCCAGCTATGTTTGTACAAATAAAAAAATAGAGATTTTAAGATTTTCAATACGATCAAAATAGCAGCTTCAACCGGTACTTTCTTTAAATCAAAGACAAACTTTAAAAATGAATATTTGAAAATTATGACTGACCACTGTAGTGTCTCTGGTAAATATGTAGGTCACAGTTTTTGTACTTTTCAGTTCTTCTAGGACATCTTTCAGATAAACATCCCTGAATAATTACATCAATAATAATAATACTTTTATGCGATCATGTGAACTTACTTGAATTGCTCCAGAAGGGGGAAATCCCAAATACTTCTTTTCCCTCGGGATTTCGGTTCGTCAGAAGGTTTGATGAGCGCTGATGATAATGAGGATGCTAGTGATGATGATGATGATGATGCTAATGATGATGATAATGATGATGATGCAGATGAAGGATTAAGAATCTTCCAAACAGAGCTTTGTCTAGGAACCGGCCATCCTTCAAGTTCTAATTCCACAGAACTGGCATTGTTTGAAGAAATCCATTCTAGAAGTAAATTCTTGATTACATTTAAATATTGTATTTTATGTAACCCGATCCTGTCAAAGTAATGTAAATAATAAGACGACATTTAAGCAATCTAATTAGTATTTGATGCAAGTAGTTTCACTAGCAGCTTGAAACTTATTGTGCAAGTTTAGTTTGACTTTAGTCTTATGCATGATAATAATAGGTAATAAAAAAATTAATTAAACCCACTTTGATTTCAGTTTATACACTTTTTTATTATTTCAAAATTGAAATAACATTACTATATTATTATAATTATTATTTATCATTATTATCATTGTACCTGTAGCATAAATCCCAAAGGTTGAGGGCAAAATTAACAGTAAAACAAAAATCATCTAAACACAAATAATAATTTAATTTAGTTTTTTTATAGAAAATTTGCCTACCTTGATAGTTTTTAAAAATCCGGAAAAAGTAATTTATGTAAATGCGATATATATACAATTTGCAATATAAAAACAGAGTATACAGTGATAACCAGCAAATTCTGAAATAGATAGACGACTGTAGACTCAAGCTATGACTTTAAATAGTCCAATTAGCATACAGTAAAGCCCTTAATAACGAATACATCGGAAGAATTAATAAAATGTCGTCTTGACAATGTTTCAATGAGTTTTATACTATATTACGTAAATTTCAGTATTTGCGAAATTAAATAAATAGCCATGAATATGCGGGAACAGTTTCATAGAGTTCCATATAATTATTGAATTAAAAAACTAAATATCTGCAACATTCCATTATCAGAAATATCAGAATACGACAGTTGATGAATTCTTTCGATGTATTCGTTATTAAGGGTTTCACTGTAGGAAATGCGCAAATCAATTGACGGTAAATACGAAACATGAATTAAATTTTCTAAATATTTTGAAAATTACATATTGCATTATGATATTTCCAAAATTTCAAAATTTAATAAAATCTGGTAGAAACATCAAGACATCCTTGAATATGGTATAAAAATATTTAAAATGTTCGTTAAGTCAAAAAAAAGACTCTGGCATTAAAAAACCTTTTTTAAAGAAAGCCTTAATAACTGCGCACATGGACATAATTTATCGTATTGGAAAAGTGTTGACAAATGAGTTGTTGCCACAAACTCAAGTTTTCTAATCCAAATATCTTTGGAACCTGTTGGAGCCTTTGATTATTTGAACTGACAGAATTAAAAGTTTGAAATATAAAAGACCTACCACATCGGGTTGCAAAGATTTGATTGAAAAAGAGTTTTTTAACATTTTTTAACTTGTTTTGTTTTAGTTCTGTGTGTTTTACCTTTAAACTGGACAAATTGATATGATTATCACAAGAAGAACTGAATTAAACTAATAATATACTTGACACAAAGTTATTTTATAATCTGGATTTTTAAATCAACTTATAATTTAATATACAAAATATATACATAAATAAAAAAATAAAAATAATATTTTTTAAAAATTTAAATTTAGAATAGTTTAAAGAAAACATTCATTATTGTTCCAAGAAAGTATATACATCCCTGTTTCAAGTTTATGAATTACAATTTTATGAGATTTAAATAATTCTTTTGATAAATAATCTCAACTCCCGCGGAAGTATTGGCGATCACGTTCATCTCATCAAAACACTATGTAGCCTAATTAGCAACAGCAAGGTTGGAAGGTGGGGGGGGGGGGTTCTAATAATTTTCCTGTTCTCGATGTAACAACTCTCTATGTACAGTATAAAACAATAACAACAAAGCGCATTTTTAAAATTTAACTAGAATCAAAAGCTTTTGGATGCAAACTTTTGTAATTCTGAGCATCCATATTCCTTTCCTGGGGTCATGGGGTCAAAAATGTGGGCCCGATCGATTTAGTCGTTTTGCCTTTCGAGAAAGGGAGTTTCTTTTGACCCCCCCCCCCTTTTTCTGGAGACTAACCTAAAAGTTTACTGCAGCTTGTTTCCCACCAGATACAAAACTAATTTTTTGGATATATCAGCCTATTCTCTGGGGAAGAAAGGATTATTAATTTTTAAAATGTGTAAATATTATTTTTGTGTTGTGCCTGTGTGTGTGAAGTGTCAGTTTAAGATGTGGGATTAAGGGAATATAGCCCTTAAACTTTGCTCTCCAAGAATAGATAAAAAATGTGGTGCCACTTATTCCCTTTAAATCAAGATGTTTAAAAAATATATAAAAATTCAAAATTAAGAAGCATATTTCCCCACTCCCAACCCCATCTTGTCATGTTTTGGACATAATTATGACTACATTCTCTGGATAAAATTCCAGGGGAGGCTGGGGGACATTTTTTGACAGGGAGAGGGGGATAAAAAATATTGGCGCGCTTCGCGCACGCTAACTCAACTATTGCCCCAACCCCTGAATAAGCCGCCTCGGTGTGCATGTGTTGCAGTTATTTCGTAATTTTTGATAAATCATCATAGCTTTTTTTCATTAATCCGACAGAGTTTCTTATTAAAACAACCCTTGTAAGTAATAGAATATGATTCTTTTTATCTTAAGACTTAAGTTTTTTATGATTTTAACCCTAAATATGCCATTTACCGAAAGAATTCATTAAATATCGTATTATTCACTTTCTGATAATGGAATCTTGCAGATATTTAGTTTTTTAATTAAATGATTATATGGAGCTCTTTAAAACTATTCCTGCATATTCATGGCTATTTATTTATTTTCGCAAATACTGAGATTTACATAAAATAGTATAAAGCCCATTGAAAAATTGTATAGACGACATTTGATAAATTCTTTCGATATATGGCTTATTTAGGGTTTAACTGTATCTATATATTCATGTCTGATGGCTGAGTGAAACATTTTAAAGTAAGGTTCTAAAGCAATAATTTAACATATTTTATGAGTATTTTGAGCTCTGAAAATACTCACTTTTAATGATAATTTATTAAAAAACATTCTGGGGGGCTCCACCTCCCTGCACCCCTCCTCGCTCACAAGTTTTGCTCGGTGCTAGTCCCACTGAATCACAGTTTTATTGGAAGTTTGACCCTCCCTTTTCAAAGATCTGGATCCGCACCTGGTGCTGTGAAATTGTTATTCCGCCCGATTCTATGCAATAAATGAGACTGAGGTAATTTTAAGTGACATTAATTGTCTTATACCCTTTAACTCTTTTATGAGGGGGGGGGTGAAAGCATCCCCCCCCCCGTGGTTTTTATAACTTAAAAACAGTTTACATCAGAACGCTGAAACGGTCAACCCGCTGATGGGTTAAGTCAAACCAAATTAAAATTGGGAAACAGTTTTTTATTGCTAAAGCTAAAGATCTGTTTTATGAATTGTTATTTTATTTATTTTCTTGAAAAGCCCTTGAAATATGGTCGAACTTACGTCACGCTCACATGTTAATATTTGTAAAAAGTAATAATAACTAATTTTCCACATTTTCAACCATTAAAGTCGGAGATCTAATTGATTCTTTTTAATCTCGGTTTTCTATATCAGTGTTTTGCGGATTTCTGCATCAGATGTGTAGAAGGAAATTTGAGAAATATACCTTTTCAACACAGACAACAGACATTTTTGCGGTATAATCCTTATATTTACTCAGATATAAGTTTAAAGGGTATCGCTGTGAATAGGACGGACGGGCCACGTTATACAATTCCGTGATCACTCCCTTTAGGTTTTAAGGTACGTCTAAGTTAGTTTATTATTATTCAATTATTCCTAATCCGTAGATTCGTAAAAGGATATTTAATTTTACTTCCTGAATATAAATTTAACATGAAGGGATATTTTACGTCAAAGGAATTGAGTTTTTGCCACAAACTCTGATTTTCTAATTTCAATATCGTTGCAACCCAATGTCGTAGACCTTTAATATTTCTAACTATGAATGCCCTTAGATCAAATAATGTAAGTTTAAAATATTAAAAGTTTACATTATAAGGTTGCAAAGATATAGGTTTTACAAAAACTGAATTTGTGGCAAAGACTCAATTCCTTTAAATAAATTTTACAGTAATTTAAAATCTCACACATTTTCAGGCATAACTCCTTTTTTTACATTGAGCTGTTGAGAAGAAATAAAAATGTTTTAAATTTCTTACGTGTAACCCAATAAAGGAATAGAGTCTTTGCCACAAACTCAAAGTTTCACATCCCCATAGCTTTGCAATCTGATTGTGTAAACTTTTGATATTTCAAACTTAGATTATTTTATATAACAGAAATGATTCTTTTCCTTTCTCATATTTGTTCGTAAATCTAAAACTATAGTCTCAAAGGTACTGCCATACCCTTCTCCTCCCCCCCCCCTCCCTCCTCCTAGAAAAGGAAATTGAAGTAAAGTCGAATTTCAGACCTGCTAACATTATAAGAATGAATGGTTTATTTTGTATTGGACCAAATTTTAGACTATCCCTGTATTCTACCCGGCCCCATTGCGTTCAAATAAAATTTGTTAAAAAAAATTTTAATTGAAAATATAACTTAGCTCAAACATTTTACAAGATAAACATTAAAACTAAACTTAATTTCTTTTTTCATTATTAGATCAAATATTACCAAATATTTTCTATATTTGCAAATACAAAACTTTCCCCAAAATGTAAAGTACAAATGGAAGTTTTCAAGAAATATGTTTTTAGACACAAATAAATTTAGGACGCTTCGTGCTCTTCTTCTAGCTACAATTTAAGTGTTTTAACATTGATAACATTTATATAGATCTCTAAAATTTTAAAACTATTTATTTCCATTAACATTTGTTTCCCTTGAGTCATTTGAGTTCAAACGTTTTGGCGTTTATTGAATAACCCTATCCTTCTCATTTTTGACACTATCATTGTGAAATTTTTTTACTTTTAACCCTATTTTTTTTTGCAAACATTTTTACTATATAAGTGGATTTTGCGATAAAATATTCAATTTTTGCAAATTTGCAAATTTTTTTGCAGATTCTAAAAGTAGAGCACAAGAGCTTTCTAATGATGTATCATTCGTCATATTTGGACATAAAACATGGGATTTAAGGGGGGGGTCAAGTTGACCCCCCCCCCTGCATATCCTGGTTTTCAAGGACCCCAGCAGGGATAGGGTTAATAAATATGAATTAAAGGGATTTTTTTATGTTAAGGTACGGTTCAATGTTAAATGAAAATCTAAAATAGCCCATAAACTTTTTATGACTAAAGCAACAGCTCTAAGAACTATAATTTTGAAAAGTCCTTGAAATATATGTAGAAACATGTGTCATAAATGATACTTATTTTAAACAAAAAAAAAATTACATTTTTTGGCATTGTTTCAATCCTCCCTAGCACCCAAACTTCAAAAATTATCGATCTAATTTTTGTTTTCAATAAGCTGGCCTTGAAAAATTGGGCTATGACCATGCATTTCAACCCTATACCTATTCTACAAGGCCTATTTCAATAAGCCCCCCCCCCCCCAGTCTTTACATATACATACATTCAGACTTTCCAGCCTTTATAGGTATAAAGACAGACAGACAAACAAGCAAAATTTACAGATATGTGGGCATTTAAAAAATAACAATTGATGGCACCAATTTATTATTACAAAGTTTTGGAACGTTTTGATTTGTGCGTTATACTATTTTCGCAAATTTTAAAAGCCATAAAGTATTAAATAATTGAGTAGTGCAATAGGGGTGTTACTATACCACAGTTTTTGAGCAAACATATCCTGGGATAGATTCAGTTCACAGCCTCCTGTCTAGCAGCAAGGTAGTTTTTGAGCAAACATATCCTGCAATAGCTTCAGTTCACAGCCTTGTTTCTAGCAGCAAGGTAGTTTTTGAGCAAACATACCCTGCGATAGCTTCAGTTCACAGCCTCATTTATAGCAGCAAGGTAGTTTTTGAGCAAACATATCCTGAGATAGCTTCAGTTTACAGCCTTGTTTCTAGCAGCAAGGTAGTTTTTGAGCAAACATATCCTGAAATAGCTTCAGTTTACAGTCTCGTTTCTAGCACCAAGGTAGTTTTTGAGAAAACATACCATGCGTTAGCTTCAGTTCACAGCCTCGTTTCCAGCAGCAAGGTAGTTTTTGAGCAAACATATCCTGGGATAGCTTCAGTTCACAGCCTCGTTTTCAGCAGCAAGGTAGTTTTTGAGCAAACATACCGTGTTATAGCTTCAGTTCACAGCCTCTTTTCTAGCAGCAAGGTAGTTTTTGAGCAAACATACCGTGTTATAGCTTCAGTTCACAGTCTCGTTTCTAGCAGCAAGGTAGTTTTTGAGCAAACATACCCTGTGATAGCTTCAGTTCACAGCCTCGTTTCCAGCAGCAAGGTAGTTTTTGAACAAACATATCCTGCGATATCTTCAGTTCAAAGCCTTGTTTCTAGCAGCAAGGTAGTTTTTGAGAAAACATACCATGCGATAGCTTCAGTTCACAGCCTCGTTTCTAGCAGCAAGGTAAAGGGGGTTGAAAATATCAACATTTGAACATATTACTAGCTTCAGGAGCATTTGAATTTTAGTTTTCTTAGAAATTTTGCAAACCCCAGGTTTTAGCATGTTCTGTATCTATTGCCATTTTCTTTTGGCATGGAACCCTTCTATAGCTTTGCATAATTCAACTGTACATTAATCCTCCAGTGGCCAAATTTAAAAAATTTGAGCTGCAGCTTGAATTTGAGACGGGGCTCAAATATGGTTGTTCTCACTTAAAATTGTATTTAATGTGTGAAGATTTAAGCCGGCGCTCAATTGACAAAATTCAGACTCAGAATAAAGATAAAGAAAATTTGTGAAAATATCTAAGAACAAATTGTGGCTTTTAGTTTAACAAATTTAAAAACTCGGTGATGGTGATGGACCAAACCTCTGTATAGTAAAAAAGTAGATGTTAGTTCCACATTTATTGAAAATATATTTCGGTCTGGGTTGACCCTCGTCATTACTTTTAACCCTATTCCTGCTGGGGGGGGGGGGGGGTCAAATTGACCCCCCCCCCAACCCAGCATATCCTGGTTTTCAAGTACCCCAGCAGGGAAAGGGTTAAAAAAATGTTTTAAGACAATTATTATTCCTTGAGATTGTTTCTTCACAAAGATTAAAAACAAAATTCAGATTTGGATCAATATTTTATGTCAACAATTTTTAGACAGAGGAAACATTCAATAGTCGAAAAAGATGTTTGGTCGGAAAACTTTGATGTCGGAAACATTTTGATATGGAAATATTTTGTAAGTTTTCCACAGTTATTGCACTCTTAACTCTTTTCCGATTGGGCTATTTTTTTAAATACAGATTGGGGGGTGGGGGGNGGCGTTGATATTGCTTTGTGATTTGCTCTCAGAGTTGAGATAAGAGAGTGTAATGAGGGGAGAAAGGCCAGCCAAAACAATTTCTCGTCTGAGCCACATTCTCCTCAAATTCTCCTCTGAGCCACCCCGGAATCCTCGTCCTTCGATTATTATGTGTTTTGAAGTTTCCAATTTTCGAAGAAAAAACTATTTTTTTCTGAATCTGCCCACGTTAGGGCATAAGATATTGATAGACTAAAGTAATGCAATGATTACATCATGTTGGAATCTATAAAGCCCTTAGAATGATATCAAACTTTATTATATAAAACTTAAAATTCTGCCTCCGTAATGGCTGACCTAGCTTTGCGAAATTAAATAAAGAGCAAAATTGTTGGCATAACTCTGCCTTTCATTTTCCCCATAGAACCATTAATGACGAAAAAGATTGAAGTTCTATAAACTCGGAATTATTTGCGGCATTCTACTTCAGGAATATTTGAAAATGCGCGTAAAATATGTGTACATTTTTGAGGACACTAAACTTTTTATCTTGGAGGATTTGGCACTTATGGCTCGGACGAAAAAAAAAATGTTTGTTCACTTCTACCCAAATACACAACTACATAAAATAGATTTTTTTTATATCGTGGATTTTCAGAGTTTTCAAAAACCCGATTTTGTCAGAGGCAAATTTTTTGAAAATTCGTACAATGCCTGTATGACTAATTTTTTCTGAAACAAACTAAATCTTTGTTTTGACCCACTTTCAGATGTCAGATTTTAATAATTATTAGCTGTTTGGAAAGCAATGTCATAAGAAAAGGATTGAACAAGTTTGCAAAGAAAGTTTTGCAAATTATTTGCAAACAACCCGTCAAAAGAAATTTGCACATTCTTAGTTTTTCTAAATTACTCATCAAGTTATTTAAAATTTTGCAATATTTTTTGCATATTTGAAATAGCATGGTCATTGGTCAAGTGCTTTAAAAAATGTACATTTTATCATTTTTTGGACATTTTTTTTTTGGCATACATTTTTACTATATAATGGATTTTTAATTAGGTGGTCAACCCCTTAGAAGTATGCCTGAGATGCCTGAGCTGCCTGAGATGAAGATCTGGATTTTAAATAAAGTAGAACCTGTAATATCAAGAGGGAAGTTGAAATGGAGAAATTTGCAAATAAAGCCTCCAGATATTGAAAAGGTGACATTTAAACATATTCATACACCCAGAGCTTGTAATGTGGATTAATTTGTTGGATCTCGATATTCTGTTAATCTGCAGATTAATTTAAACTTTATTCGATATCCCGTATGGTAATCGTAACTAAAATGACCAGATTAATCATTGATCCTTATATTAAAAGTGCCTGCAGTGGATATCGAGATCAAGCTATCACCATTTTGAGTATCCAACTGATTATAGGAGTATCCGATAGAAAATATTAAAAATTCAAATATATATCTGTCCTAGTTAGGCCTTGGCAACTTTCCAATAAAAACCTTACTATAAATTTTTTCTTCCAAACTTAATACCAATTATGTCTTGTTAAACGGCATTAATACAGTTAATGTCGTCTTGAATTTGAATTTGATGCTACATTTTGAAGTTTCACAAGCTTTCAAAGTTTTCCGCTTGCAGTTTAACAGGGATTGTTTAATTTATTCAAACAAGACACAAATTTCTGTGTTTAAAGTCAAAAAATTTTCATGAATGCAAATTTTCTAAATATATTTCTGAAAAGATAAATAAATAGTCCTGAAATATGCCGAATATGATATCTAACAGCTTCAGCTCAGTTATGTATAATATCCTTCATATTTTATAACTCTCAGCGTCGAAATGTAGGGAAAATTTGTTAAGACGACATTTTAAAAGTTCTTCATGTCTTCAATTATAAATGAGTTTAACTGGATTTCTTATCATCTTGGTTCAGGTTAGGCTAGGCATAAAAAAGAACGGAAAGCTGCCCAGAGTTGGGAACTTTAGAATGCCGGATATCGAGATCAATGCCTGATCCAATCTTTTTCTTCATCTTCAGACTAACATTATCTTGTACTTGTATCCTGAAAAGTGTATAAAATTCAACCAATCAGAGTCGCGTATTAGTTGCCGGGAAATTTAAAATTTTGCGCGCCATTTAAGATTAATGTTACAGAAACAGGAGGGACTCTCAAATTTTGAAAAACCGGTTTTGATTTTTCTGTGCTTTATCCAAAATAGAGTGGATTAAGCAAGAAATTAAAAGTGTCCACATTGGATATTCGGATTGAGCAGTCGGGATTAAAGGTATCCCATTCTAAAGTTCCCAGCTCAGGTCTAACACGTGACGCAAGGTTATATTTTTTATTGCCATTTAATTTGTATCACATAAAAGTATTATGACATAGCTCTAAACCTTTTTGGAAAAAAAATCACGTGGCGTAGTTTAAAATACCTTCAAATAATTTAGATCAAGGAATTCTGTTCTGAAACCTCACTCCATGGATTGAAGTATGTTGCGGAGGTATAAAACAATTCGTTTTTATTTTTTAAACTTAGAGACTAATGCTTGAAAACATAGACATCAAAGAAAAAGGTCATACTTTTTTATTGCTGTGGAACAAAATAGGGATTCAAACGCTATTACGGCATTTTTGCTAGCATTGTTTTTGAAGATATGAATATTTTGCTTTCCGACAGTTTTGCTATAAAACATTTATCCTATGAGAACAATTTAACTAGCCTGTCCACTGTCGAAGTTGCAACGCTTAGGGATGTTTTAATGTAGTACAAATGTTGCATATAAAAAACGGCATTTTTAGGTTATGATGTAAAATTACACCATGGCAAATCAAGCGGTGCTTATTGTATAAGTTTACAATTACCATTTATGGTGTAAGTTTAAGTTGCAAAACATTACATGAAATAAATGTTCAAGTTTGGCTTTTAAAGTTTTAGTTTAAATTTTTTAAATTATAAATTCACTGTTTCAACACGGATCTTATAAATACCAAATTCAAAGTATTTTGATGAATTTTTTCGGCTTCCATTGTCCATTTTTCGACTGAACTCACAAAAGCGGTTTCCGCATGGCAACTTTGATTTGCAAAAAATAGTCTTTTCTTAACGTTGCTTGTATTTCTAGAGCCATTTCTATTCGAAGTGAGCAGACACGCACCCCTGACCCTTCAGTAAAAGTAAATTCAACCTAAAGTCTGACCGCGTCAACCTTGTTGCACCGGCTAGTCTTATTAAGTGTCTGCTTTATTTACTCAGTGTCCGGGCGATACAGTACAAACTGGGACCGGGAAAGTTGACCCGGCTTGGAAATTAAAATGTACTGCGGCTGCCCGTGCAGAGCATATTGTTCATGATATAATTGACCTCCCTTATTAAACATGGCAAGTTGAAGGTCTAAGTCAATATTTAGTAAAATTGAAATAAGGCATTCAGACATCTGAGGAATCAGGCAGTAGGTTTATAGCCCAGTTTTTAGCCTAAAGTGAGGGGCTTGTAATTGTTATAAAAGTCAAAAATGTCCAAAGATAGGGTTAAAGCTGTGCAGTACACATACAGACTATGTCAGGCAAAACAGCACAGTACACCTAATGAATTAGCAGAATATAAATTATCAAACTGATTCTCTAGGATGGTGTAATTTTGGTTCAACGTGTTCTTTGGGTGATTCTTTTCATCTTTGCTTTAGTGTTCTTGGTCTTTCTAACTACACCACTATTCAACAAGGTAAATATTAAAAACATTTAATATTACCTGTATGCATACCTTTAAGGTGAAACCCTTGGACATCCCGATCGCTTAATCTGAATATCCAATGTAGACACTTTTAATCTCTTGCTTAATCTGTGCTTTTTCTCCCTTTTTGGCCTACCAGATTACGACAAATGAAATGGTGCGTAAAATTTCAAACTTTCCGGCTTCTTATTGGCTGTATGGGATTCTGCATATTCCACTCTATTGGTTGGATTGTATGCACTTTTGAGGATACAATATCAAGATTAAAAAATCTTAAGATTAATATAATGAGGATAACAAGCATTGATCTCAATATCCACAATTTTAAAGTATACAGTTCAAAGTTAAGTTTTGAGTTGGATACTAATAATCCCGATTGCTTGATTCCGATATTCACTATGGGCACTTTTAATTTGAGGATCATTGCTTAATCTCTTCAGTTCAGTTATCCCTTCAGGCAGATTACAATTACAATGCGGATAATGAATAAAGAATATATTAATCTGCATTGCCACAAACTCGTCTGACTTCTCAACGGATATTTTTTGCAACCCACTAACCATAGAGCTTAGATATACTTAAGAATAGATTTTGGTAGATCAAATAATTTCAGTTTGAAATATCAAAGGTTTACCATCAGGTTGCAATCAGAGTGGGTTAATATCAGCATGCCAAATTTTAGGGTTAATATCAGCATGCCAATTTTTAGGATTAATATCAGCATGCCAATTTTTAGGATTAATATCAGCATTCCAAATTTTAGGGTTAATATCAGCATGCCAATTTTTAGGGTTATTATCAGCATGCCAATTTTTAGGGTTAATATCAGCATGCCTTTGTTGCTTTTAACAAGAGTCCTGTTTTCCTGTATAAAATTTACTCTTTAGGACAGGCTGCAAAATGAAGAATTAAAATATTTTTTTTATTTTTTATTTAGTATATTGATGCCCCAACATTCACATCAATAGATACAACAAACTATCCAATATCAAACATTAAATTCCCTGGGGTTACAGTCTGCTCAAATATTAGGTAAGTTTAACCAATGGCAAGTTTGTGAAAATTAATGGAAATTTTGATAACAAAAAAAAAACTGTTAATTTTGGAATCGCTTCTGAAATAAAAATGAAAAAATGCAAATAGTTTTGTTTTAAAAACTTCAGACTTTTTGATGTATTTTTTAAATGTTGTTGAATGTTGTCTTCCATTTTTCTCTGCTATATTTTTACAAGGAAAAATGTTTAACGTCTTGTGAACGGCTTGTTAAGGAACTCTGTAATATTTTCCGTTAATGCATATTAAAATTAAGTTCAATAAAGAATGGTAACTTTAAATTTGGTTACGGTTAGTTTTTTTTTCTACTATAGCCCTTAACAATGGTGCATACTATCATTTACTAAGGAGGAGAGAGAAAGAAGTCAAGAATGTTAGAAGTCTGGTAAGTTAGAGATGTCTACCTCCTCTAACGTTGAGCTTCTAATCAATTTTTCCCATATTATTTTCAATAACAAACTTCTAGTGATTAAAGCTATTGCCTTTATGATTTCTACCTGCTGTTAGGGAAAAATGTATGTAAAAGTATACATTCACGACACCGCTCACCGCAAACTGAAAAGGATTTCTAAACAGAAGATATATTGAAAATTAAATCTTAAAACTTCTTCTTTTTCAGAGTTGCACATACACAATTTGACGCAGAAGTGCAGGTTAGTTAAATGATAAATATATTTTAGACATTATTTCAAGTGAACCTTCATATCCAGAGTGGCATGTCCGATACGCTATGGTACCCATAAACCTTTTTCTCTGCATCAAAGGCAGAGATGACCGTGTCTTTATCTCTAATATTGTGAATCAGACATTCCACTCCACAAATGGGGGTTACTTAAAGCACATCTGCGGAACCACTAATATGATAAGTTTTTTAATAGAAGATTCTGAACTGGTAAATAGAAACTTAAATTTGGGAAATTTAACTCTTTCTGAAATAGGTTGATCTATAAAATATATATTGTCAAAGGGCTAATTAAAATACCCCCTCTTCCCCCTCAAGCACCCCTCCCTACCCCCTCCCAATTTAATAATTAACAATTAAATGTTTTTTGATTTATTTTATATTTCTTCAAAATTAGTTTTTCCCAGGCAAAGATTGAACTGCCCGATTTGCAAGAGTACCCTTAAAAGCTTTGTCTGATCAATTATGAATTAGATATCAATGTTTATGATTCTAAAAGTTTAATAATTTCAATTGTGGTTTCTCTACAAAATTTACTTGCTCATTTATACTTCAGGAAAAGATAAAGAAATTTTCAGAATTAAAAACACTTTAAATCTAGAAAAACGACAATACAGGGTGTCTCAAAAAACATGGGAATTCAGTCTGCTAGAGTTTATTTTATGGAAACGGTAAATGGCTGTTAAGATGTGTCTATAATGTCTCCGCAAGATGAACAGTGAATTTTTTTGTTTTACTAAGTACACCCTTATGCAGTCAAAACATAAACAAACAAATTGTAAACGTAGCAGACGAAACTCTTACAGATTACAGCTTTCTCAGTACGTATCACTATACTAAATCAAAGAATTATTTGAAAAGACGATATCGAATTCATCACTGAATTCCCATGTTTATTTGGACACCCTGTATCTTCCATATTATTAATTTGAACCGTAGTAAATCGGGCGTTGCCATCTTTGCATTGAGGATCACTTGAAATTACACTGACTGTCCTTTTCTATTTCAGAAGTATCCCTGGTGGAGTTATGAACTGGATTTGATAGATGAGGTATTTTTCTTAATAAAAAGTCAAAGTAAATTTGATAAAAATGTGTGTTGCAGATGGTTGGGAACCATATTAAGTTCAATTCTGATCCAGGGGCTTTAAATTCTTCATCACTTCAACAACAAGTTGATTCCTTGATGCGAGATCAAGAACTCTATTTCACTGACTTAATGCAAAAGGTTAATTAATTGTGTACTGACTTCACTACTAAATTTTAAGTCTTCTACTTTGTCCTTGGCAAAAGTATCTTTAAAGTGACCTTTTATGTAAAGAATATCCCCCAAAATATTTAAGAGTTAAAAAGAGTGTAAGAGTGATTTCAAGTGTCCGTCCATCCAAAGATGGCGATGTCTGATTCACAACGGTACCCATGAAACCTTTATCTAATCAATGATGTTAAATACATTTTAGATTTCTAGGGTAAAAAGTGTTTTTTTTTCTGATCATTATTCTTTTGTTGACCATAAATATACAAATGTGCACCATCAAAGGGTTTCAGTCTTATCACTACCCCCTCAACCACAGCCGAAGATGGCATTTTCATCTTTTTGTGGAGTGTCACTTTAAATTACGCAATACAGTCCCTTTAAAGAGGGAATAGGCTAAATTCATATTGATGTATGTATGCTTAGAAATTCATTAAAACGTTTTGGTTCAGAGTTGAGAGATCTCCAAAAATTAAGACTTAACTTATCCAATTTATCTACAGGGTTACCCACTAAGGATAAGACTTCAGAGACGACTGTAGTGAATTTTTACTATATATATCTTTATATTTATGATTCTCTAAGCTTGGTTCTTTCCTTATTAAATCATTTAATGAGCCAGAAAATAAGTGTATTTTAAGCAGAAGGCTCAATTTGAACTTGGAATCGTCATGTTTTATGTGTTTTCGGTCGTCTTTGCAGTATCATCCTTTGTGGGTAACCCTGTATATAATAAAGCTCTTCCCTCATATATATATATTTATATGTCATAGTTGACCAAATGGCTTAACCAAATTGGCTTGAGTTTTTTTGAGGGAACCCAGGGGTATCCCGGGGGTATCATATAACATATAGGCTTAAAAAATCGGTTTTTTTGAGATAGAATTTTTTTTCAAAATTTTTATCAAATCTTTTTAAAAATTTCACAGGCAACGCCGGGCTCTTTAGCTTGCATTGGAAATTTGGGGAATCCGCCAACTTTTTTCTTCTAAATTTGAAACACGTTTTTTTAAGACAATATTTTTTTACATATCTTCTATAAAACAAGACATTCGTATATATGTTGCGTAAAGCCGGCCAAACGGATGGACTGATTGGGCTGAAATTGTTTGTGCACACTCATGGTGGCTGGGGGGGGGGTGTAAAAGGCTAAAAAAAATTCTAAATATTTTTTTTCAACATTTTTTTTGTTTTTTTTCACGGGCAACGCCGGGCCCTTCAGCTAGTTACTAATAAAAAAGAAAAGAGTCTTTGCCACAAAAATATCAAAAGTGTACTGTACACCATTAGACTGCAAAGCTATATGAGATTAGAAAATTTGAATTTGTGGCAAAGACTCGAGCTAGACTTCATCACTTAAAATTAATGATATATCTATTATCTACAGTGATACCATGGACAACTCTGAAATAGGAAGACGACTTTTAGAATCAAGTTATAACTTTAAAAAGTCCAATGAGTATAAGCCACAATATTTGTGAATGTAAACAGACCCATTTTACAAAATTAGTAATTTAATAAGTGTCTAGTAAAATTATTTGCTTTGTAGCAACATCAACAACAACAACACTTAAGTATTGCTTTAAAGTCGTCTTCCTTTTCCATTGTTTTCTGGTTATCACTGTACTCTTTAAGATTTCTCCAAGTTGTGAACGAATGTTTTTGATTTGTAAATGGCAAGGACAGGATAAAGATTGTTCTAAGCTAGGTACATCATGTTTTTTTTTAGATTTTACAGGGTTTTTTCTGATAAAAGTGAGTAAAACCTTCTTAGCCTACTAAGCGTCGTTTGATTTTACTAAAAAGTGATACAATTGGGTACAATATCAGTGAATGGGAAGGTCGTCGTTAAATAGATTTTAATATAAAATGCCGTTTTAACCTGAACTAAAGTAGGCCTAAAATCAAAATGAACTCGGCCTTTTTCCTACAGATTTAAAATAAGAAATAATACATAATTTTATTTCATTTTTCTTTAAAAATCCGAAGTTTATAACATTTTGTTGTAAAAAATAGAAAGATATTCAAACTTTTTTTGAAAATCTTTGGAACAGATACCGAGTACATTTTTGAATACAATAGATTAAAGCTTATTCACTAGACAGTGTTTTCATTTTAGAAATCAGTTTGTGCTGTAATTCAAATGCAATATTTTTCTTGGGCAGTGTTTTGCTGGCTATAACGCAATTATTAGTTTAAACACTTTAATTATATTTATATTAATAATTTATGTTAATAATATAAATATGTATATAATTTAATTATGATAATTGTAATTTGCAGTTACTATGCGAAAGACGGATACTGGATTTTGCTGTTCATTCAATACCATGGATTTAGCAGACAACTTTGTTCCAGTAACATTTATATAAAACATTTAAATTTGTGATATTTTTTTAAGGGTGTATTTATATATTCATTATTTCAAGTGGCCCTTCATGCCAAGAGTAGGTAGGGTTTCCAGTCGAAATGTTTTGCACGAAAAACGTTCAAAAGCTAAAGCTATTTCGCGCAAATTCTGAGGAAAATCTTGGTATTTGCGTATTTGGTTATTTCCTGCTATTTCGTTATTTCGTTAAATTTCGAGAAACAATTCCAGGAAATGATGAAAAAATTCAAAATTAAACCAATCAGAGTCAACTATACTCCAGCCTGCTCGGGGCTCACACATGGTGCCCGAATGAGCCCAAATTCTCAGGTTTTAGGTCACCAGACCGTATCGACTATTATATACCGTTGACCGGCAATCAATCTCAAGTAGTAATTGAGTTACTCACGAATTAAATAATCATAATCACATTCACTAATCATCAGTCCGGTCCGGTCTGAACTTCAAGACGAGCAACTGTTGCGCAAGAGAATTTTACTGTTTTGTGGAAACCCTAAGAGTATGGTTACCCAATTTTGTTTATCTCTAAAATTGTCGGCAAATTGTAAACTCCATGCAGCGGAATTTACATATATTCCTCGAAAATCTTAAATGCCCAACGCAGTTTTTAAAAAATAAATTGTAAATTTTTTTTTCAAGTTCTAGAAAGTAAATATTGATATTTCTTAAATATAGAAGAGCTTGTAAACAAAGTGTTCAAAGAATATTTCTGTCAAATGTTCACGGGCGGACGTAGTATATTTGAATTTCCGAGACGGGTCAACCTTTTCTTTCCCAGTTTGTACTGTTCCTGGCTCTATGGACAGGACTATAGCCGGTGCAACAAGGTTGACGTGGTCAGACTTTATGCTTCATATAGGTTGAATTTACTTTTACTAAAGGGGCATAGGTGGTGTATTTACAGAGTTCTGGAGAAGTGAATATGACACGCCATTATATCAAAAGGGGGGTCACTTGAAATTACGATTAAAAGTCCACTTTACTTTTCATATAAGATTGTAAGCACTTTCCTAAAGGGATATAAACCAAGTGACTATTCTTTAAAGGGTATTGTTCTCATCGGAAATTCTACGTATTTTTGAAGTAGAAATATGAGATGTTTTCGCAAAATTGGTTAAAAAAATATTCTAAAAAATTTTACAAGACATAATAATTCATTTGGATTATCTAGGTTAAACTTTTAGAACAATGGTTAGTGTTTATATCAATACAATGAGAACGACTTTTGTAAATAAGTTTTGATTTATAACAAACTTTTTTTAAATCACAAGTTTACAAGCAAACAAAGAGAAGCTGCAAATTCAAATCTTCTTTTTCATTTTTATTTGAATCCATGTTGTTTGAAAGGTTGGTAGAAATAAAAAAAACTAATCAAAAGTCGTCTTTATTGTATTAATATATACGATGACGACTGAATATTAGGAGAAGCCTCCTTCTGAAGACCAACCAGTTGATCCCTATTTACATTGTTATACAGATGAAACATTCTATAAGTTGGATGGATTCACAGATCCTAATGAGTGAGTAGTACAGTTCGACCCATAAATCTTTGGAAAGGAAAACTCCTGTTCATCTCAAGTTATGATATTTATTAGACCAATATGAACATAAAATGAAATTGTGCAGAGTTTAGACCCACTTTTCAAGCATCTGTAGTTTTCTTTAATGGACAACGTTTTAAGAGACCTGCACCCTAAAATATTTTCCCAAACAGATTGCAGTCAAACAGATTGCATTCGAACAGATTGCAGTCAAACAGATGGCAGTCAAACCGATTGCAGTAAAACAGATTCCAGTCAAACAGATTGCAGTAAAACAGATTGCAGTTAAATTGATTGCATTAAAACACATTGTAATTAAACAGATTGGTTCCCAACGGATTGGTTAAACAGATTGGTCAAATATATTAGTCAAATAGACTGTAAGCATCAAAGGTTTAAAGGGTACCGCCGTTGTGAACAAGGGATGTCACTCTTTACATGTGAGGTTACTTGAAATTACGCTTACAGTCCCTTTGTCAGTCTCTCCCTTGAAACTGCAGTGAGTGACCAATCGTTATATCTATAAACTAGTTATTATTTACACCAGTAAGCAATAATCCCGTTTTATACGTAAAGAACTTGTAAGCGTAAGATCAAGGGACCCTCCATGAAAAGATCTATGTTTAAAATCTGGAAAACGCAAATCTTTCAACTGTGCCGTTACTTATACAAAAGGGACAATTGTACATTTATACTGCAGGAAAACATACAGAAATTATTAGAATTGAACATTTTTCAAGCTATGTATCTTCCACATTATTGATCAGCTTAAGGTTTACAGGGTACCATTGTAAATCGGGTTTTGCATCTTTGAATAAAGTAACACTTGAAATTACGCTTACAGTCCCTTTAATTACAGGGGTTCGGAAGAATTTAATGAATTCTTGTGTGCTGACTTCAATAGATCAGAAATTAGTGAATATCAATATATTGAAGATATAGACTATAAAAACAATCCATGGGAGAAGGAGGATGACTTTTACACCTATGATGAATATGCGTATTTTCAATATCAAGGATATGAATATGGCGAAGAAGGGCGAGCAGTTCTTGCCAAATATGACAATTGTCAGTACAAAGTCAACAATAACACAAGTTCTGCTAATGTCCAAGAGGAGTACATATCATATCGCTATAGTGGACTTCTAAGCGGGTAAAATTTTGGTTTTGCATTTTTTGCAAAGGAATTGAGTCTTTGGAACAAAATCAAATATTAAAGCCACAATATCTTTAGAACTCGATGTTGTAAACCTTTGATATTTCAAACTCTGATTATTTGATCTAGCAGAATTCATAGTTTGAAATATCTAAGGTATGCAACATTTGGTTCCAAAAATATAGTGATTAAAAAATCAGAGTTTGTGGCAAACAATAATTCCTTTAAAACAAGTTTTAAATTTATTTATTATTGAAAAATATGCTGAACAGCTTATTGGAGTTTCACTTTCCAGTAGATAAATACGTCATTAAGGATATGATTTCTTTCATAGGGGCCACTCGTCCAGTGGCCATGATTGTTTTACATCCAATCCGGTCATGCATATCGTTGAGTAACAATCAATTTCGCTTACTTTTGCATAATTGATATAAGAAGGCTAAAAAAAATTGTAATTTTTTTTTCAAAAATCGAAATTTTTTTTATTAGCATTTTTAGTTTAACGTTTGATTTTAGTATTTTTTTTTGATTAGTTATGAAACTGATGAAACAAACTTCTGTTCTAGACTTAAAGGTTTGTAAGGATTGATGGATATTTATACTTAAATTATCAATATTTTTTATATATATATTTTTTTAAATTTAGGTTAAAGGTTGATGATAAGATAATACATGATTATCTATAAACGTTGTTATATAGTTAAAATGGTTTTACAAACTAGTTTAAAAACTATGCTAGGTTAAAGGTTGATGATAAGATAATATATGATAATCTATAAAAGTTGTTATATGTATAGTTGAAATGGTTTTACAAATTATAGACCACAGAACAGTTAATCTTTTATATCTTTTTTTTAATTTCAATATTTCTAAGTCTTGATTTTCAAATTTTTGTAAAAGAATACCTATTCCTGCTGGGGGATGGGGGGGGGGGTCAATTTGACCCTCCCCCCCATGACCTAAATACCCATAGCCCTCCCTTTAGGTCTAAAACCGGTTTTTTAAAGTAACTGCCTGAGTCCTCCGTCATACTGCCTGAAACTTTTTCCTACAACAACAAAATCATTGTTTTGACCCACTTTTAGTTATCAGATTTTGATAACTCTTAGCTTTTAGGAAAGCCTATGACAAGGAAACTGATTGAATAAGATTTGCGAAAAAAATTTTGCAAATCATTTGCATACAGCCCGTCAAAAGAAATTTTCACATTTTTGGTTTCAAAAATGTATATTTTATTTTTTTTGGACATTTTTTACAAAACACTTTTACTATATAACCAATTCTAAGAGTAGAGCATAAGATCTTTTTTTACGCTGTGCCATTTGTCATTTTTGGACATCAAAGTAAAATAAAATTGTCAACAGACATTTAAGACTTCGTACTTTCGTCCTTTAACATATTTTTGTTAATTCAAATTTCACATAAAGTCTAAATGCAGATTTGTAAACAAATGGAGTCCGTTTAATAGAAAAACTAAAAAGATTAAAAAGAAGAAAAGATACAATCGAACATAAAGGATGTCAAAAATCGGCGCGAATTAAAAAGTTGCTTAAAAATGGCCGTTTTGCGTAGAACCTATATCAACAACCCTATTTAATTTAACATTACAAATAAATCTATTCTTTTTATTTCTAAAAGGTGTTAGTCGAAAATACTAACAATCCACAACTGCAGTCTGCACCGGTTTATATTAAATATAATGTAAGCAATAAATATGTAACTTTCCCTTTCCGTTCCTTTTCCTTTTATTTCTATTTTTATTGGAGGGAAAAATTCCCATAACCTCTATTTTGGAGGTTTTTAAATATTTTCTCCTAAAACACTTTTATTTTTGTTATATTTCATTAATAGAAAATTACTTACTTATTTACTTACTTGATTTAGCACTGTACAGTGTACATCCTATACAAACAGATTGTGAGGGCCCCGCAATATTATTCTATAATACTTGGCACATAAAATGTCGTCATCCAACTGTGAGTTTGGCCCACTGTAGAATTAATTCACTTTAAGCAGAGATCAGGGTTAATTTATTTGTAAAGCCATGAATTGGATTTTTTTAAACTTATGTATTTGATTAAAGACATATTAAAAAAAGTATGTATATTCACCGATTATTAGGCAGACGCTGAACTCTAACTTTCGAGTGTGCGAGATGGGGAAGACTTCACTGCCGCACTTAATTAAAAGCATAATTATGGGGGGATGACATTTGTAGATCAAGATTGAATCCTAGCCGCAGCGCTCGGCCCAGAAAGTATCATAACTTAACCTACCCCTAAATAAATACTAATTTGATTGAAAATTGTTGAAAAAGTGGTCATGTACAAAGTAAAATCTGCAGTGAAGTCTTCCCCACCTCGCACACTTGAAGGTTAGAACTCAGCATCTGGCCAATTATTAGATCCAAGCCACAAAGAAGAAAGAAAGCGTCCGATCTACAGCCTTTCCAGGCCCTCTGTTTCACCTCAAATTGTGAAAAAACTGAAAAATGAGGAAATCCGAAACACAAATATGGCGTCGAAGAATCTGGGATTCTCTTTTCTGATTGATGCAAATTTGGCGAATGAATATGTTACTAGATTTGGTAGTACTGTTACTGCAAATACATTTCAGGTTGGGTTTGTTTTCACTTTCTTTAATTTTTGAAAAACATTAAAATTTCTAAATTTTGACAAATCTAAAAATCAAGTAGACATTAATTAAATGTAGAAAACAATGACATATATATGTAAACTTCTGTACCTAAATTTTTCTATTTTCTTTGATTGACAGGGCAAATAAACATCAATCATTAATGCATTCAAAATTTAGTATACTCTGAAAAATTAACCAAATCAATGTTATTTTCATGTATCTAAGCACTAAAAGCCATTGACATAGTCTCAGAAATCCTGCATTATTATCATAACATGATTTTATATGATTGTACCTGTTACATGTTTATACTGATTTTACATGATTTTACATGATTGTACCTGATTTTACATGTTTATACTGATTTTACATGATTGTACTTGTGTTTCGCTACTTAGCGATTTCCCTAAAGACCTAATATATATACCGTGTGGTATTT